ACATGAGACAAAGTATATGTGAACTGCTGTATGAAAAGTGAATTTACTCTGTAAATCTTCACCCAAATCCTAAAAAAAAAAAAAAAGAATGTAAGGACAGAGGCACACATCTGTCTTGTGGAACAAAGTGCAGACTGGGAAAGACTCCTGAGAGGACAATTTGACAGCGGTTTCAAGAATGAAGAAAGGCACATGTTCCTTTGACCCAGAAGCCTCCAGAGATTTACGGCACAGAGACAGTCATGATGGGGCTTCTCATGGATCACTGGCTATAACGGCAAGCCGCTGAACAAACTAAGTCCATCAACGTGGAATGGCTAAGTAAGCCACTGAAACAAGCTAAGTCCATCAATGTGGAATGGCTAAGTAAGAGCTCCAGGATGCAATGTGAAAAAACCAACAACTGTGTATACATGTTGCTTCCTTTTATGGGGAAAAAGAAGAGATACAGTTCCTACTGCGCATGTACAACATCTCTAGGAGAAGACACAAGAAACCATCAACACTGGCTATGTCCAAGGAGAATTGGGCAGCGGGGGGACAGGGATGGGAAGGAGACATTTCATAGCCTGCACCCTTTTATACCATTTGGGCTTCAAACCATATGACTGCATTATTTACTCAAACAGTAATTTAAATTCATTTTTTAAAGTATCTTATGGAATATGTTTGAATGCATTTGGCTTACCATCATCTGATCACAAAATTTATCATTAAAGGAATTTGGGAAGAGCCTGGTAACCGAAGTCAGCCGGTTGACGACGTTCAGCGTCAGGCTCCGGTAATCTCCCAGCATCATCAGCAAAGGCCTCATGTGCGTGTGGATCTGGTCGACTTCTATCGTGGCACCTTCCAGAAACTACCAACAAAGAAAGGTCACAAAAGGAACAGCAAACGCTTTACAACACAGGAGAGTTCACAGTCAACCCTGGCAGCAAGGTTTTTTCCCCTGGGAAAACAGAGACTGCAGAAGTTTATGATGATCAATAGAGAAGATCTATCTTTACCACTGAAAAGTTTAAAAGGTTCCATGTGACTGAGAAACAGGTAAAGCCATTACTATGCTCTCATGTGTAGTGAACAAGTGAACCAGCTCCTAGGAGTACAGACTCAAGGTCCACAGGAGGAGTCCTTCCGGCAGACTCCAGCACACACGTGCACATCGCTCACCTTCCTCATGCAGCCTTCACCCGCCTCCTGCAGCTCACTGTTGGTGGAATTCAGGGCTTTGAAGAGGGCGGCAATGATCTTTTCTCTGGACTGAGGAAGGTAATTGCAGGCAGCAAGCGCATCTTTGCAAAGAAAAATCAACATGATTTCACTGTTAACCTGAAAACGGACAATCTCCTTCTCTGAAGACAAAAGTGTGAATCACGGAACTTCTTGCCCAGTGTCCAGCCCAGAGAAAGAAAACAACCCACAGCGTTCAGTTCCATCTTCTCTGAGACGGAGTCACATCCCCCAGCAACCCTTCACCAGGAGCCTCGGGCTGCAGAGTGGAGAAGGAGCAGGACCCCCCAACACAGGGCCTGCACCCCAGCATAAGAGCAGGCCAGCTGCAGGCTGATGCAGCTGAATGCCCAGAGGGCATGGCCGCAGTGAGACGTGCACAGTCTGGCTGCTCTCATGACCAGGTCCAGTCAGGAGAGTTAAAGGTCTTAAGTCGTTAAAATACAAATATTTTCAGGAAAAGGAGTCACACCTTCATCCTATACATTGAGAACATTCTAGCAAAAGTAGTGCCCATACTAGCTAACAGGAACGAGACATGAGAGGCACACACCCCAAAGGGAGTGAGAACACCCCCTTGGTACGTCCCAACAGGCTTGCCATCTTCAACACCCCCAGCCCCATTCTCAAGCTAGGTATTACGGTCTGCTCTTCAACTCTCGACTTCAAGGAGAATCCAGGCAATATTTTAGAGTGTATCCCCCCCAAAAAAACAAAGCAAGAACCAAAGTCAACTAAAAATGTTTGTCGAGTATTTACTTACCCCCAAAAAAGGACCATTTCCCATGCATCTGGTCAGTGAGCACCTACGTAATACATTTCCCAGAACGTCCAATTCCCATGCTCAACACCAATAACGGTTGTTTCTAACGCAAACCAAAGACTGCAGGATTTCTGAGTGCTTTCTGAACCATGGACAGCCGGCTGTAGGGCACCTCACTAATAATCTAATTCTGATGCAAATGACAGCCTACGCCTGGTGTGACAAGTCTCATAAACCAGAATGGCCGACTCATCAGAGAACCCTGCTATCAAAGGGAAGAGTTCACTGTAGAGTCAAACCAGGGTTTAGGAGAGAGTGAGAAAATGATTCAAATCCCACAATGTATATGGCCCACTGACTTCTCAGGCAGTTTGATAAGCATATAGATTTTTGTGATTATACCTTAAAAAAACCACAAAGAGCCAGGAAAATTAAAGACAACACCAAAAACATGCAGCTTTATACCCTCTCATTTGTTTCAGATTCGTATTAACTTACTTAATGCTGCAATTCGTAAGGGCACAAGGGAGGGCAGGCTTTTGTAGCAGGGTAGCTTTGTTAACGCTGAATCTTCGGCCTCACACAGATTCAACAGCTGCAGAGTAAAGACGAAACCAATCCATTAAGCCCACTCATTACTCAGGAGACAGAATAAGCACCCTACAAATGACAGAACAGGGCAGTCTTCCATACACACCTCAACACAACTAACAATTTTCTATAAGAAAACCAACAGGGAATAAAGTGTTTTCAAACAAACGACATGTTAAATGCAAACCCTACAGAGTATCAATAGCAGCATGTGACTGAGTGTCCTTCAGTCATCAGTGAGACAGAGGCACGTGTGTGTGTTCACACCCATGATACCATCACGATTTTCCTACTGCAAATACAAGGACGCAGGCCCGCTTTCTCCTTGTGCTACGCTGCTGCCCAGTGTTAGTGCTGGAGAAACGCGCGTTGAGGGTTCGTGTCCAGGAGCAGCAGTGTGGTATTTTTTCAAGTAGAGAAAAGCAGAGAAGAGGTTGAAAGTCACGGGGAGTGAACGCTACAATTCAAGAGAGCCTGGTGGCCACATACCAACATATACCTAATATCTAAAGTATCACATGTGATGTTGGTCTATTATTATTATTCTGTTCTCTTCATTTATACCCCAAGAGAAGCATGTAGCCATTTACCACTGTTTTTTTCTCCATTACAGATTCCTACCTGGCAAAGATTGAAAATAGCAGAAAAGGACATCGTGTCAAGAGCAGGCCACTTGTCCTACTCCACTGCCCAGAGGCCACCCCGTTACCAGTTCCTTGAAGTATGCTGAAGTATGTCCTTCAACAAGGCTCTCCTCACATATGAGCTCCATGTGTGTGCTCCACCACCATTCTTTAGAACCAGAAAACGTGGCTCGTGTTCAGCAACCCATCTCAGCAAGCCCTCACCGTCCAGAGACACCGCCCCATCCTTCAATGGCTGGGCAGAGTCCCACTGTACTCACACACTGTGAATCAGCCACCTCCACTGATGGAAATGAGGACAATCCCTGTTTTGTTGCTCCAACAACTCTACAACAGATACTTGTACTTGACCCATGCAATGACATCTGGAGAGTAAATTCTCAGAAGTCAAATTTCTGGAATAAAGCTTTCCTTTTTCTTTTTTTGGAGGAAGGGGTTATACCAGAGTTCCAAGTTATCTTACAAAAAAGTTCTCCTAATTTACCCTCCCATGAGTTGAGGCGAAGACCTAGCTCTCTACACTACTTAGAACACCCATTACCAAGTGTTTATTCTGCACGTCTGAGGTGAGACGCCTGCTCGTCACAGTGACCTGCACTGAGGTTGATCACTTTATCATGAAAACTCGTTTGTAAGACTTTCTATGAACTACTGCTCCTAACTGGCACAGTCTGAGAGTGGCCTTCTGGTATCCACCACCCCGTCTTCCTGTTTAACAGAATCCGACCTCATGCAAGTTATAAAGGGGCCATTTTCCATGCATGAAGACTAAAGCCACATCTTGAAGCTGGCGAACGAGAAAGTCAGGAGCTTGGGTTCCTGAGGGCACTCTGGAGCCCTGACATGCCTGGTAATCACTTCTCTCAGCGCCACCCGGAGCCCCACTGATGACTTTTGCCCATTTCCTGATGGTCACCACTGTGGGGAAAGTTGCACATGTGCTACTGCCTGGCTGCACCATTATTTAATCAATTCTCAGTTACTGGGCATCTAGGTTGTTCTCTGTCAAGGTCCAACTGCCATCCCTAGAAAGCTATGCACAGAGGTCACTGCACTCAATAGCCACAGTTACCAAACATGGCCACACTGCAGGATTAGCCAGGAAGCTTTTACACAGGAGATTCCTGGGTGTGACCCCACACTGACTGAACCAATTCTCTAGGGGCAGGATCCAAGTCTGTGTATTTTAAAAGCTCCCCAAACGTTTCTGATACGCTTGGAAAGCCGGCTTCTTGTCCTTGGATTTATCACTCAACACAAGAGGTTCTGATCTCGAGTTCAGTAAGGAATCTCCATGAAAGTTGTAACACATGCGTCTGTGGCACAGCCAAAGGGATGCTGTCTTCCAATCCCAATGGCTCCCCTGGACCGTCCACCACGCCTTATCCTTATGCACGGTAACTCCTCTGCAAGGCACTGCGGCTCCATGTGCCCAAGCCAGACATGGGATTCAAAACTCAAGAGGTGAATTTTTCATAACTGGAAGTTTAGACTTGGCATAGACCATAAAGTATTGTTTCCCTAGGAGTTTTGCCTCCATTTACCCCAACAATACCTCCAACAATGACTGACTCCGGTCAAAACTTCAAAGTGAACCTGATCACCAGACCATTTTGCACGTTAAGAATCAGTGTTTACATCTGGAGGGAAAAAAAAAGGGGGGGGGTGACCAGGTTTACTGGTCGGATAGAGCCTGGTGGAACCATTGAGACTATGGCCCCTAATTGCCCTTCAGGTCTGGAATTGAACCCACACCTGTGGTTTCCAGCCAAACAAAGACAGGCATATGAGTTGAACATTTACCTCAAGTAGATACTCTCCTTGGAGAGAACAATCATGGGAGAAAGAAAGGCTGCTTATGCACAGGGAGACAGCTCAGGGGACAGCAGTCCATGGAGGGATGGACACAGGGAAGAGCTAACTATGGGGAGGAAGTGGGAGGGGAGCTGCTGCATTGTGATAAACTATGGTCAATGACATGAGACAAAGTATATGTGAACTGCTGTATGGAAAGTGAATTTGCTGTGTAAATCTTCACCCAAATCACAATTAAAAAAAAAAAAAAAAAAAATCGGTGTTTACAATGCATCTATCTCTACAGTTTAATTTGTCACTGTTCAGTGTCACCCCACAGTGGAATCCACCAACACCATGTTTATGGTGACAAGTGTTTATGAAATACCATCTGCTTGTGCCCGCTACATGCGGTGAAGTCACACCTGCTGAACAAATGAGAGCCCAGAGGGAGGGGGTGGTGGTCAGGGACCCAGCAGGAGGGTGCGATGTAGGATCCAGGCTTTACAGTAGCAGTCTAAAATCTTCAGTTCACCTGCTCTGTGGCATTAGATACGTAACAATCCTAAGCCTCAGTTTCCTCATCCTCAAAATGAGAACAAACAACATGCTGAGTCTACTTCAGGTGCCATCAAAGCTGACGAAGGGGGTTCAACTGACTTTCTCAACACTGGCACTCTGGGGGGACAGCGGCTGACGCATTCAGCAGCTAACAAAGGCTGGCAGTTTGAACCCCCAGCCGCTCCACAGGAGAAAAGATGAGGAGCCTGCTTCCATAAAGATGACAGCCTTGGAAACTCTATGGGGCAGTTCTTCTCTGTCCCCTAGGGGCGCTGTGAGTTGACTCAATGGCAGTGGGTTGGGTTTTGGATATTTTCAACAGTGTAGGGACCATTTAAGTGATGAAAAAATCTGACATACTGGGACACGCTATGGCACCAGCTGCCACAAGAGAGATTCAAGCAGACAGAATCTGATTTCTGAAATACAATTTTAAGGGCCTAAAGACCAAAGTCCCCATTGAGGCATAACAAGTTCTAAGGGCTTAGAAAACACCAACACTGTGCTGCTTCTCAGTTGCCAATGCCAGGATGCACCGTACCTGCTCAAGGAGCAGGCTGACTGTTACCTGTGGTCACTGCCCATGCCTTCCCTGAAGGTGGCCTGCCCAGTCTTCACAAACACAGGCAGGTCACCAGACACAAGCCATCACCATGCACACCGCTCTGCACCCCCACCCCCCTACCTCTGTGTAGAACACCTTATGCTCCACCACATTCAGGTCCATCGTGAAGAGCCGGGGCTGCAACGTGGTGCAGAACGTGTTGCCCTCCATCAGGCCGATCTGTGCATTGGCAGGCTGGTGTCGGAGCAGGTGCTTCTTAGGTGGGACCATGTCCTGGAGGACCTGGAGAAGGAGGATATGTCCCTCACAGGCTGCCCCGTGAAAGGCAAGTACCAATCCGTACAACACTAGCCCTAGTGGCACAGCAGTTAAGCACTCAGTATGAACCAGAAGCAGCTCCACGGAGAAAGCCAAGGCGATCTGCCCTTGTCGAGACTGCAGCTTAGGAAACCCCAGAGGGCAGTTCTACTCTGCCCCATGGGGTAGCTGAGACAGAGTCGACTCGATGGCACCCAACATGGGTCACGGACAGGCCCCAGGTACAGTCTCTAAGGCTCCAGAGTAACCTTTCTCAAAACAACAACAGAAGAAAACAACTACAGAGCCAGGAAGCCAGCCTTCTGTCCTATTCTCCCTTCAGTCACCGATACAGCTGTAAATCTAAGTCTGTCACTAGCTGCACGTGTCAGGTCAAAAAGAACATACTTTGTCATGTGGGTACACAATCTTAACCTGAGGCCATCTACAGCTCAAATGTTAAGGGAAAAATTCCAAAAATTATGTTCGATACAATACAGCATTATTCAGCCATACAGGAAATGACGTTCTGATACCTGCTGTGACATACAACACGGATTAACAGTGAAAACACGATGCTGAGTGAGAGCAGCCAGATACATGTTTATCAACCGTCACCTGGAGTGGGGAAGGTGAGGCCCTATGTATCTGTCTGCCATGATGAAAGGTTCAGAAACAAACCAGAACAACTGTGGCTGAGTGTAACTAACGTCCCTCTGTTACATACTTACAAGTGGTTATAACACATGTTGTTATATGCATTTTCACAAAGTACAATTTAAAAAAAAAAAAATTGTTCACATTGTCCTGGTTCAGATGACAGAAATCTCACCTCTTTATGGGGCTCCATTATTACCGTCACACTCTTTCCAGTGACCTGGGCCAACACCTGGAGTGAATGCATCGCCTGTTTTCTCACAGTGGAGTTTGGAGAGGTGACTTCTCGAACCAAATCGTGTGTCACATGGTGGAAGGACTTCTCCTGAGCTGACAGGATCTCTTCGGCTCTTTCCTCGTCTTTTAAAGGTGTGGCACACCTCATCAGAAGCTGCTCCAGGGTTGTCTTCGCCATGGCAACAGCACCGTTGGAAACCTGCCAAGTCAGGAACTTTAGGATGGCAGGTGCTCCACACAACCCACTACACCCATCTCCTGCACACTGGCCTGCTATGAACGCTGGCAACCAGGTCTGTGTTCCTCACACCAGCAGATTAACAAGAAACCTTTGTGATACCCACTCTATACTTGAGTAACTAAATCACTTTCTTATGGAAAATACCAGCTCATTATTCACAACCAAAAACATGGGTCTAAACATGACCCTTGGTGTCCACAGGAGGTGCAAATGGCTTGGCTACTAACTGATGGGTTAGAAAACTGAGTCCACCCAGAGGCACCTCCAAAGGCCTGGAGATTTGCTTCCAAAAACTCAGCCAGTCAAAACCCCAGGAAGCATACCCTACTAACACACATGGGGTCACCAAAAGCTGAAACCAATGTGACAGCAACTGGTTTAAACATGAGCCTTATTTGCAGCAAGCAGCTAAGCTGGCAGTGCCCGACACGTTATACTTGTCCAGTGTTTATCTGCATACAGGTACATAAGGCTGTGACTGGTACAGTCAGATTCTGTGGCACCTTCATGGCCACACTGTGCAGCAGCAGCCCTTACAGACACAGTAACGAAACCGAACAAGTTACTAAGCAGCCAGGAGAGCAGATTTGCAGAATGGCCTCATACAAACTATTCTCCAGGCAAATGAGCTTCTAGCAAAGAGCATATTTAGGTCTGGGGCATGGAAAAAAAGAGTCCTTGAATTATCTTAAAGGAGCTCTGGTAGCACAGTGGTTAAAGCATTCGACTGCTAACCAAATGGTCAGTGGTGTGAACCCACCAGCCGCTCCATGGGAGAAAGATGAGGCAATCTACTTCTGTAAAGATTTACAGCCTTGGAAACACTCTGGGACAGTTCTACTCTGTCCCATAGGGTCGCTATGAGTCAGAAGAGACATAATGGTAGTGGGTTTGGTTTTGGGTTTTGATTATCTTAAAGCAAAGATTATTTCCTAATAGTTCACTTTTAGGAAATAAACATTAAACCAAGCTGGTGACCAGTAGCAGAAACTAGTTAACCTGTGCATTTCCTTCAATCAGCTGGGTTTTCCTCACAGAATACCCTAGTGCTCTAAGGCTGGGTACTGACACAATGCTCCGACATGACCCGCACCACCCCGTCACCCACCTCTCCAGTCAAGTCCATCATGACAAAGAGGAGTGCTTTGAGGAACGTCTGCTGGTTCTGAAGAACCCACGTGAGTGGCAGCCGCTCCATGAGGAACTTGATGGACACCACACCGCCCAGCTTCGCATACCAGGCCTGCTCGTAACAACAGGCACACAGGCGCTCCACGATGTAGGAAAAGAGGGGCAGCTGGCACGCCTGGAGGAAAACACACCACAAAGCACCACATGTGAACGCAGCTCCTGCAACACGGCTTCCAAAATGACCACCCTCAGGCACCAAGCATGAGGAGACACCTAAGTCGTCCCTTACCCTCTCCTTGGAGCCTAGGATGATGCTTGCCACATCAAATATTACCGCCAGGGCCACCTCCCCAATCTTGCAAAGTTCCTTTTCTTCATATGCCATACAAATAGCGATGGCATCAATAAGAACCAAAGGGTCCATGCCTTTAGAGCCGCTTTCCTCACTGTGGAACATGGCTGTGCTGGGCTGGCTGCCCACCTGGTAGCAAGGTAGCAAGAAGGGGCCTGGAGAGGGAAGCAGAGACAATGAGAGAAAGCAGCCCTCACTTACACCAATAGTCCTGGCCCTCAAATTCCAAAAACGATCGCATCGTGGTGTTGAAGTTAGGGATACAGTAACAGCCAAGCCTGTTGCTTCCCACCCATCGCAGTTACACTGCAATTACTTGTCAACGAAGGGATCTGACTTGTACTGCGGCAGGTTTTTATGACTACTTCCCATTACACATGGTATAGTCATAGTATTTTCTGATTTTCTCAATAGTAACTCAAAATACACTAGTTTAAAATGAAAACCATTGAAGCTACCTTCAAGAAAACATCCTTTAAGAGGCTCAAAGGCACAAAGTAGGGATGACTCTAGGCAACACGCCAGGCGCTCCTGACTCACATGCAACAATGCAAAGCGAATGTGCCACAGCTCATAATTAATACCTCATAGGGACCCAGCCCTGGCAAGATGCAGACCAGCTTACAGTTTGGCTAGAAAGATGGTGTTAACACACAGAATCCTGAGGAGAGACAGTGTTTACACAGAGAACCCTAAGGAAAGGCAGTGTTAACACAGAGAATCCTGAGGAAAGACAGTGTCAACAAAGCTAACCCTGTGGAAAGACAGTGTCAACAGAGAAAGCCCTGAGGAAAGACACCGTTAACCCACAGAAACTTTGAAGAAAGACAGTGGGAAGACAGTGTCAACAGAGAGAACCCTGAGGAAAGACTATGTCAACACAGAAATCCTGAGGAAAGACAATGGTACCACACAAAGACCCAGAGGAAAGACAGTGCTACCAAAAAGACCCTGAGGAAAGACAGTATTAACACAGAAAGCCCTGAGGAAAGACACTGTTAACACACAGAAACCCTGAAGAAAGACAGTGTCAACAGAGAGAACCTGAGGAAAGACAGTGTTGACAAAGAAAAGACCCTAAGACCATGTCCACACAGAAATTCTGAGGAAATCAACAGAGAGAACCCTGAGGAAAGACGGTGTTACCACAGAGAAACCCTGAGAAAATACAGTGTCAACAGAGAAAACCCTAAGGAAAGACAGTATTAACACAGAAACCCTAAGGAAAGACAGTGTTAACCCTGAAGACAGACAGTGGACAGACAGTGTTACTACAGAAAGACTCTGAAGAAAACAGTGTCAACAGAGAGAACCCTGAAGAAAGACTGTCAACAGAGAAACCCTGAGGAAAGACACTGTTAACACAAAGAACCCTGAGGAATAATCTAGGTGTTGAACAGGACAATGTTGACTGTTCAGGCCCTGAAGGACAAAGAATAGAAGCTCTTTGTTCTGCAGGACTCAAGAAAACACTGACCTGCAGACGCAAGCAATGAGAGCAGAGCCACCCCAGGGGGTCTGCAGACCTGCTCCTGCCTGCTAACTGGTCATTACTGGTCTGGAAAGAGATATAAAAACTGAGACCATGTGTTCAGAAACTTAGGTAAGAAATGGCAGTCAGGACACTTTTTCTTGTCTTTTATAAGAGTATCAGTGTGCTATGGGTTGGAAATAAAAAAGTGAACAAAACTAGCCCTGCACGGTGGAGCTGGAGGACATCATTAGCACAGGCGAGGAGCCATGCTGGGCGGGCAAACAGCATGAGTGACTGCCCAGGAGCAGAAACACACGGGGGGCCACGAGGAGCTAGCCACAGAGCCACGGCCGGGAAACAGAGCCCAGAGAAACACACCACGCAGGAAGCTCGGCAACGGGGCAGCCACACGCACGCCGCTTGTCTGACATGCAGTATGGCCAAGAAGGTATTCAGGCCCTTTTTATCACAAAAACATGTATTTTACAAAGCTTGAAAATCATACACTGCCTACCACTGAAACACCAAATATCTTTCTCAGTGTGTCAAATGGAAAATCAGAAAATGAAAGCAAAAATAAATCAGCTAAACTTGGCTTCTCTGAGCAACACCACTTAATGACCAACCCAAAGAAGTCACATGACCACCAACTCTGCCCAACAGTCCCCTCACTCACCGCACTGCTGGGCGACTGCCACCATGGTATAGTGACGGATCAAGCTGGCCACAAATGGCAGGGCACTGGGCCGGAGGTCTTTAATGACAGCAGACATGAAGGCCCCAGTGAGAGCCTGCTCAAAGGTCTTACGAGCCGGGGTGTCCTGTGCCTTGTACCGATGGGATATGATGACACTGGGAATTGTCTTTTCTGTAAAGCTGAAAGGCCAACCATAGCCCACAGTTATAACCTGGAACCAGGACTTTATTGTTTTTTAATTTTCAACCTGCCCGTTTGTCTCTCATCCAATAGGCATAAAAAAAGCTATCATGTAAAAGGTGGTCCAACTGTGGTATACACTGAAGAGTCACAGGGAAAGCACATACTCACATGGGACCATGGAGGGAAGTGATCAGGCATTTACCACCAGTGAGTATATGAGACTGGAGGCCCCGGGTGCTGCCTGGCTGCTAACGGAAGGGCAGCAGGTTCAAGTCCACCCAGGGGTGCCTCGCCAATGTCACTGAAAAACCCACAGAGCAAAGTTCTACCCTAACACACATGGAGTCACTGTGAGTCAGCTGTCTCAACGACAAGTGGCTTCGTGATTCTGCTCAATGTTACCTACTCACTTCTCCAACACCTTATCTTTTTAAATGTCCCTTTTCTAACCCATCCCCCCATTGACAGATGTGGTAGTTCAAGTCGTGTGTCAACTTGGCTGGGCCTGGGTGAGTGGCTAGGCAGCTGGTGGGAGTTATTCCCCATGAGGAGACTGGCAGTCAACTCCATGGTGGGATCTACCACAAGCAGCTGAGTAGCTGCCTTTGGGATGTGGTCTGCTTCCTGCATATAAGAAGGTTTGGGAATGGTCTCTAACCTATGGCATACTTGGACCCTGCATGTAGCCGTGTTGTTCTTCAGCAGCCTGCCATGGCTCTGCCAACCTGGGGACTTACAATGGACTTGAATTAATGGCCTGCCGTGTGGTTTGGTAACACTGGAACTGTGCCATTTTGTTGATCTTGGGCTTGTTAGCCTCAGCAGCCAGCAGCTATCTGAGTGGAGAGATGCCTCTAGCTTCAGTGGGCCAGGAGCAAGAGGCAGAGCTGAAGCCCAAGGTCGAGGGGCTTTCACCCAGCCCCTACAGTCTGGCACTTTGAACTCGGACTTAAAGCCTCCAAACTGTAAGATAACAAACTCCTGTTTGTTAAGACCATTCCGTTTGTGGTATATTCTTGTCAGAGCAGCACTAGATCACCAGAACAAGAGATCTTTTTTTCTTTTTAAAAAAGAAAAGAGTAAATCTCTTTAATACAGGTGCTAAGATGGGAGGGAGGAGGATTGCTTTGCCTTTCTGGGCCTTGATTCTCCTCAGTTAGAACCCCAGCCTCTTTTCCTCTAGCACACAGCCATCTGCCTGGCCACATGGGCCCAGCCCCGCAGCGACCCTCGCGGGAAGCCTGCCCTGCTGAGACTGCTCCTCCAGAAGACCACTGATGTTTGCATTCTTCGTCCTTTCAGCCTATTTTTTCTGGCTCTTCTTTGGTGGCCTTTTGTTTAAATCTCTTCCTTCTTAGGAGTCAGTATGGCACCCTTCTCATGGCTCAGGGGCACTGCACAGGGGGACCGTACACTACCAGTACCGTGCGCAGCCATGAGCATGACACGAGTCTTCACCAGGGTCTCAGTGCAACCAGCTCATTAATTGCATGCATTGCAGACAACCTCAAAGACCCTCATTCGCCATCACCATGTTCAGAGCCCCAGGAAAAGTTCCCTACATCCCCTCAGGGCCTGATACAGCTCATGTTCCACTCACACGAACTGTGTGCATGCAGCAGGGCCAACTGTAGCATGGCAGCGGGCACCTCAGCTCATGCTCCACTCCTTGTGGCATAGCTTCCGCTGGCCCCCAGTCGCTCGGCACTGGCTGGAAAGAGCCCTGATATACTAGTCTTGACAGCACACTCTCCCACCCCCAATTCCTCAGTCACGCTGTCACCAGATACAGGACTCTAGGTTAGCCAGCAGTCACCTTCTTGAAGACAGGATTTCCTCCACTGCCCAGTGGTTCTCGTAGCTCCTGATCTGAAGGTATTTTTGTTTTTTTTTTAAATGTCCTGCTTGATTATCAACTGTTTTATTATAATATGTCTATGTGTATATTTTTTTTTAATTTATCCTGCTTCAGACACACTAAGCATCTGGAATCTGGGCATTGTTTTTTAATTTTCCCATCAATTCTGGATAGCTTCTTTTAACTTATTTCACAGCTAAAGGTCTTCTTTAAAAAAAATCTGCTTGAAATGATCATGGGAGAAGGAATGGCTGTTTACACACAGGGAGACAGCCCAGGAGGCAGGAGTGCATGGAGGGATGGACACAGTGAAAAGGTAACTATGAGGAGGAAGTGGGAGGGGAGCTGTTGCACTATGGTAGATTGTAGTCAATGTCATGAGCAAAGTGTATGTGAACTGCTATATGAAAGTGAATTTGCTCTGTAAATTTTCACCCCCCGCAAAAAAAAAAATCTGTTTGAACCATTTTTATAGGTCCCATTGTACATAGGGCCACTATAAGTCAGAGCCAACTTGATGGCACCTAACAATAACAACAACATCCTTCAAAGGAGCTCTGGTGGTACAGTGGTTAAGGTACCTGGCTGCTAACCAAAAGGTCAGTGGTTCAGTGGTTTGAACCCACCAGCTGCTCCTCAGAAAAAAGATGAGGCAGTCTACCTCCATAAAGACTACAGCCTTGCAATTCTACTCTGTCCTTTAGGGTCACTATGAGACGAAATCAACTCGGTGGCAATGTGGGGTTTTTATGGTATATCCTACAAGGAGCTCTGGTGGCTTAGTGGTTAAAGTAGTTGGCTGTTCAAACCCACCAGCTGTTCCACGGGAGAAAGATGAGGCAGTATGCTTCCATGAAGATTTACAGCCTTGGAAAACGCTATGAAGCAGTTCTCCTTTGGCCTAAAGGGTCACTGTGTGTCAGAATCGACTTGATGGCAGTGGGTTTGCGTTTTTATATCCTGCAGGTATGTTCAAGTTTCTTTTTTTCTTTGAATACTGTAAGCATTTCAACTCCCTCAAGTCCACTGCAGCTCGGAATGTCTTCTGTCCATGCTGCTGGCTCTCCCACTCACGCAGCCTTATTCCTCATGGGCTTGGTTATCTCTGACTACTATCCCTTTCACAACAGAGCAGCTGTTACATGTACTCCGCATGATTTCCGATGCTTTGAGCAAAGTGAAAACATACAAGGAAAATCCCCTCCCTGAAACTTACAACTTAGATGATATACACACCTATCTCAAAAGACTCTTCCATACCAGTCACAGCCTACCATGGGCAGCACAAAACACAAATCATACAGAATAGCTATTTGGAAAAAGAAAGGATCACTACAGACCACAATGAAGGCCTATTATGTGCCAGGCACTATGGGTGTGATGGGCCAAAGGGGAGGAAAGAGCTGTGCCCTCGCTTTCTCAAAGCTCACAATCAAAGGGAGGAGGCAATCAGACACACAACAAAGGCACCTTACACTGCAGGCAAGCTCGATTCTCAGGCACCTAAGCTCTCCCTTCTATGTTCTCTAAAATCCAAGAGACGCAGGACTGAGCAAATCACGGTCCTCCGCCAGGCTCGGAGAAAGGAGCCACTAGCCCTCAGACCCTGGAGGCACCCTCCGCACTGACTCCTCATGCTCGGACAGCGAGAGCAGGGTGTGGGATGAGCACCTACTTCGGGTGCGCGAGTAGCTGGTAGAGCGCGTGCTTGTTGTCCTCCAGGCTCATCATGGCCACCAGGAAGCACTTGATCACCTCCCATGCCTGCCGCCGGTAGTAGGGCTCAGTGTTGGCACTCTTCAGGCAGTCCAGAGCCGTTTCAATAGCCTACAACAAACAGCAATAAGTCAACGCAACTCGTTTCTCCTGAAATGTTGACGCACTTACACGGAAAGTGTTTCCAACCCCCCCAGAGATGCCACTGCACACCCTCAGGAGGACATGGTGGACCTGGGCAGCCAGCGGAGTCTCCACCAAAGGAAACCTCCAGGGAAGATACATTTATTTGGGAAGCAGAAGTGTCCTGACGTGAAGAATCACATGCTTAAAATTCAATTGTAAAATGGAGCTAAATCCCCTCGTGTCTATATAGCCAAAGGGAGAGTCCAAACAGTAAGTGAGCCTGAAGGTCTCCTGTGGTAGAAATATTTTGCCCCTCTGGGAGGAAAATCAATTTTCCATTTGCCATAATAAATGAAATACCATGTCATCTACACACACTTACTCGGGTCCTAAAGAGAAGAATGAATTTTCTGCACACTAAAAGATTATTTTCCTAAGCTTTTACTAAATTTCCTCTTTAAAAAAGAAAAAGGTTTACATCATTTTTTCCTGTTCCGAAACACTTCCATAGCTACACATACACACACACACACACACAGACACTTTTATCCTATTCACTTCAATTAGGTCAATGGAGACAGAGGAGAGACAACCACAATAATAAAAAAAAAATGATCTGAAGCCTTCATCAGCTGAAGCATTAACCTTAATTACAATTAATCAAATGACATATTAATCAAAGAGTTAAGTCATACACCATGACCATGTAGATTTATTCCAGGAATGCAGGGATGGTTCAACACGAGGAAATTAATGTACTATACCACATGAACAGAGCAAAGAAAAAGAGTGCACGTTCATCTCTCTCTGTGGATGCAGAAGACCAATTCCCAACACCCTTTCTTGATGAATACCCTAAAGAAGACTGGAATACCAGGGACATCCCTCAAAATGATTCAGGGCATAAATGAAAAGCCAGCATCACATATAATGGAGAAAGAGAGAGCTTTCCCCCCTTGAAATTGGAAACAAAGGTTCCTGCTCTCACCACTTCAATACTGTGTTAGAAGTCCTAATCAGCGCAGTAAGACAAGAAAAATACATAAAATATATCCAGACTGGAAAAGAAGAAGTAAACTAATCTCTATTCTGTACGATAGGATCCTCTACATAGAAAATTCCAAAGAATCTGCAAGAAAACTTCCAAAGGTAATCAAGGCACTTAGCAAAGTTGTAGGGTGCAAGGTGAACAAACACAAAAATCAGTGAGGTTACTAACAGCAAGAAATCTGAAAGGGAAATTAGGAAAACAATTCCATTTGTTTGTAACAGCATCTGTTCTGCTCACCTAGTGCCACTCTGACAAGAAATATATCACAAATGGGATGGTCTTAACAAACAGAAGTTTATTCTTACAATTTGGAGGCTTTAAGTCCAAATTCAAGTGCCAGGCTCTAGGGACTGGGTGAAAGCCCCTCAGCCTTGGGCTTCAGCTCTGCCTCCAGCTCCCAGCCCACTGGAGCTAGAGGCTTTTCTTCACTCAGACAGCTGCTGGCTGCTGAGGCTGAGAAGCCCCAAGGTTGACAAGTAAAAAGGCACAGTCCTGCTGTTACCAAACCACATAGCAGGCCATTAACTTAAGTCCACTGTAAGTCCCAAGGTCGGCAGAGCATGGCAGGCTGCTGAGCAATGACACGGCTACATGCAGGGTCCAAGCATGCCATATGCTAGAGACCATACCCAAAGGCTTCTCCTTATATACAAGAAGCACACCACATATCCAAAGGCAGCTACCCAGCTGCTTGTGGTAGATCCCACCATGGAGTTGATTTCCAGTCTCCTCATGGGGATTAACTACCACCAGCTGCCCAGCCATTCAACCAGGCCCAGCCAAGTTGACACACAAACATTAACTACCACAGCATCCAACAGAATAAAATACCAGGAATCAATCTAACAAGGGATGTGAAGGACTTATACAATGAAATTTATAAAACACTGGTGAAAGTAGTGAAAGATTTAGACGTAAAGATGTTCCATATCCATAGATTATTTAACAAGATATCAACCCTACCCAAAGTGAGCTATAGATTCAACACAATCCTGATCAAAATCCCAATAGCCTTCTTTTATATGGAATGACAAAAGGCCCCGAACAGCTACAGCAATGCTCAAAGTGCAGAACAAAGAAGGACAGCTCACACTAACAGCATACACTGGGAACGCTGGTGGCGCAGTGCCTGAGGCACTTGACTGCTAACCAGAAGGATGGCAGTTCAAACCCACCAGCCACTCCTCAGAAGAAGACTGAGCAATCCACTTCTGCAGAGACACCACCTCAGAAACCTAAAGAGGGGTCTCTATGAGTTGAAACAACTCGACAGCAGTTCAGTTTATTTATTTTTTTAAATACAGCTGCAGTAATCAAAACAGCCTGGTACTGGTGTTAATGACAGATTCACAGACCAATGGAAGAGACTTGAAAGTCCAGAAATAAACCTACATGTCTGTGGTCAACTGATTTTTGACAAGGGTCCATTTGATACAGAAAGACAAGTCTCTTCAATAAATGGTGCTGGGAAAATGGGATTTCTCCATGCAGAAAAATGGAAACAGGATACACTGTTTCCATATACACTGTTTTCCATACACAAAAATAATTAAAACTGGATTAAAGTCCTAAACAAGAAAAGTGAAACAATAAAATTCTTAGCAGAAAATGCAGGGGCGAGGCTGTAGGGATTAGCTTTTAACAATGGACTACCTAGGAACAAAAGCACAAACAGCAAGACAAAATAAACGAAACCTCATAAAAGTTAGCTTCTGTTCATCTAACTTTTCCAAAAAAGTGGAAAGACAAGTCATCGAGTGGGAAAAATACCCTTAGAAACCCTATATCCAGTAAGAATCTAATAACCAATATGTATGTATAAAACCTTGACAAGAAAAAGACAATCTAATCAAAAAGGAAGACTTAGAGGGGTACAGCAGAGGTATAGAAAATGAAGATGAATACAGTACTGTGTTGTCAGTGATGGCAAGCAGTGATTCACAGGTGGACAGACGGGTGGACAAGCTGAATGATCCGATATGTCTAAGTGGGGGGAGTAACTCTGTACGTTCTCTAAGAATTTCCAGGTATATAGTAGAGCTGGAGGCAGTGAGTAGTTGGACCTGTGGGCTCAAGATCATGGTCACAGGGGACACCAAGCTCAGTTGGCATAACATACCAAACCAAACCAAACTCACTGCCTTCAAGTCAGATCGGACTCACAGCAACCCCTCCTTGGGTTTCCGAGGCAGTATCACTACAAAAGTAGATCAACCTTCCTTCCAAGGAGTGGCTGATGGGTTTGAACCTTCTGGTTAGCAGTCAAATGCCTTAGGCACTACACCATACTGCACAAAAACATTGTTTCACATCTTACTTTAGCGAGTAGCGACTAGGACCTTAAAAGCTTGCAAGCAGCCATCTAGATGCAACAATGGGTTTCTCCTCATCCAGAGCAAAGAAGAATGAAGAGGAGCAAAGATTCATGGAAATAATTAGCCTCAGCGACTGGTATACCGTGCTATCCTCAGCCTATATACTCTGAGACCAGAAGAATTAGATGGTGCCCAGCGTGATAGTCAGAGGTGTGTGTCAACTTGGCTGGACCATAATTCTGAGTGGTTTAAGCAATCATGATCTGGGTTATTCCCAGACAAGATCAGATGTATATGTTGCGAACAGCCAATCCGTTGAAAGGGAGCTTCCCTAGGGGTGTGGCCTGCTCCCAATATATTTACAGACATCTTGGGGGGAAATGACCCCCTTCTGTGGATCAGGATCTTGTTGTGCTGCCTGTAACTGTGTGAGCAAACAATTCACCATTCAGCCTGGCGATCTTGGACTTGTCATTTGTTGGAGTCAACAACCAATATACTGCCTGCCAACCTTAAGTTCGTCAATCCCTATGGCTGCATGAGTCAGGAAAAGCCTCCAGCTTGATGTGTGATCCAAGAACTTGGGACTTGCCAGATTCTATAAGTGTGTGAGCCATTTTTCTAAGAAAAATTTCTCTCTGTCTCTCTCTCTCTCTCTATATATATAAGCTTTTGGTTTTGTGTCTCTAGAGAACCCAGCCTAACACACCCAGCCTATTAACCACTCAGAGGGAGATCTATATAGGAGATCCTACAGAGAATTGGAGAACAACGTGGAACAAAAACTTAAAATCATTAAAAAAAAAAAAAAAAAAAGGGACCAGGTTTGCTGGTCTGATAGAGCCTGGTGGCCCCTAGCTGCCCTTTCGGTCTAGAACTGAAAAAGACAGGCATATGAGCTGAACATTTACATTAGGTAGATACATTCCTTGGAGAGATCAATTGTGGGAGAACAGAAGGACTGTGTATGCACAGGGAGACAGCTTGGGGGGCAGGAATGCACGGGATGGAAGGACACAAAGAAGAGGTGACTATGGGGAAAAGTGGGAAGAGTACTGTTGCATTGTGGGAAATTGCAGTCAATGTCATGAGACAAAGTATATGTGAACCACTGTATGGAAAATGAATTTGCTCTGTAAACTTTCACCCAAATCACAATAAATATTTTTTTTAAAAAAGACAACCCAATCAAAAAATGGGCAAAGGACTTGAACAGACATTTCATCAAAAAGGACATTCAAACAGTCACCAAACACATGAACAGATGCTCAGTGTCATAAACCATCAGAGAAAAATGCAAATCACCTACCTACATACAGTGGAGCATTACTCAGGCAGTAGGAGAAATGACGTTCTGAGACCTGGTCAACATGGATAAACACTGAATCATGCTGCCAAACGTAATCAGTCAGTCATCAAAGGACAAGTATTTGTATGACACAACAAATGACAAATTAGAAATGATTCAAAAGCTATAGGCAGAAATCCAGAAGATTAATACTAAATTGTCAGAAATAGATAATACATTCAAAGGGCAAAGGAGCAGAATTGAAGCAATGGAAGACAGAATTAATGAGATTGAAGACAAATACCTGAATACTTCTTTGGAAAGAGATGCATCAGAAAAAAGATCAAAACAAAATGCAGAAAGCCTAAGGTTCATGTGGGATACCATCAACTGGAATAACCTATGTGTCACTGGAATTCTAGAATAGGAAGAGAAAAATAAAACCAGGGAGAAAACTGTCCAAGATTTGTCGGAAGAGAACTTCCCTGATATGATGAAAGACTGAGAATATATCCATTCAGGAAGTCCAAAGAACTCCAAACAGGATAGACTCTAAAAGAAAATCACCCAGACACAGCATCATCAAACTTACCAAAATCAAAGATAAAGAATCATGAGAGCAGCATGGGAAAAACAAAAAGTTACCTACAAGGGGCAGCCAATAAGACTAAGCTCTGATTTCTCAGCAGAAACCATGCAGGTGAGAAGGCAGTGGGATGGTATATGTAAAAACCTGAAAGAGAAAAATTTCCAACCAAGAATTATGTACCCAGCAAAATTGTCCCTCAAATATGATGGTGAAATTAGGTCATTTCCAGATAAGCAGAAATTAAGGGAATTTGTTAAAACCAGACCAACCTTACAAGAGATGCCAAAGAGAGTCCTTTGGACAGAGAAGAAACAACAGCCTATTAACAACTGACCATTAACACACATGATGATATAACCCAGAAAGCAACCCAGAGTTGCTTTCCAAAGTAAATAAGCCTACAAGATTGTAAACAGGGAACCGGAGACATCAATTGACAAAGGAGGACAACTACAAACCAAAAAGAGGGAAAAAAACTGTTTCGTTACAGAACTTCTAAATGGTAGGGAAGTAAAGACAACTACAAGATAGAACAGACTGTTCTAAACTTGGAAAGAAAACTATAAATCACCAGTGACCTCTAAGAAAAATGATAAACCTTCACATCAAAATAAGAAAGAGGACCAGCACAAATATTTAGTAAATACTAAAACAATAGCAACAAAGGAAGTGATAACATGATTCTTAAACAAAACGAGTTCAGCATAGAAAGTCCTATGGAAGAAAAAAATGGACACCATGAAAAAAATGACACCAACAAATCCATATTTGCCGATAATTACGTATCTGGCAAGGGACTTCTCTCTAAGATTTATAGAAAACTCCAACATCTCAATAGCAAAGGAATTAACAATCCACTTGAAAAACGGGCAGAAGACATGAATAGATACATCACCAAAGAGGATATTCAGGTGGCCAGCTAATATATGAAGAGATGCTCACAATCATTGGCCATCAGAGAGATGCAAATCAAAACGAGATACCATTTCACTCCAGCACTGATGGCAAGGTTCAACAAGATGGAAAATAACAAACGCTGGGGGCGGGGGGTGGTGGAGAGACTGGGACTCTCATACACTGCTGGTGGGACTGTGAAGTGATACAACCACTGTGGAAAGCAATATAGCGATTCCTTAGAAAGCTGGAATTGGAGATACCATTTGACCCAGCAATCCCATTACTAGGTATATATCCTAGAGAGGTGAGAGCCAGGACAGGAACAGATACATGCACACTCATGTTCATCGCAGCACTATTTACAATAGCAAAAAGATGGAAACAACCTACGTGCCCATCAACAGAAGAGGGGATGACCAAACTATGGTACATACTCATTACGGAATGCTATGCAGCACTAAAGAATAATGTAGAGTCTGGAAAACACCCCATAATATGGATAAACTTGGAGGACATTATGCTGAGTGAAATAAGTCAATCACAGAAGGATAAATGTAGTATTAGTTCGTTGTTGTGGAGGGTCAAGGAAAAGTTAATATATGGAGGGAAAAATTCTTTGTTGGTTTCCAGGGTGGGAGGGAAGGGGAGGGAACACTGCAAAAAAAAAAAAAAAATGCATTGACCCAGGTCACTTTAGTTTTGTGTATTTCACTGTACATAAATTATATTTCAATAAAATGCATTAAAAAAAAAAAGAAATTCCCTCCTAAAAAGATACGTGGTCTGTTTACATACGTATCTGCAAATAGCAACAAACTTTCTTAAAACGAAACATATCTGTAAGCAGCTCCCAAGACTTCCAAACTCACCTTCTCCATTGGGAGCTGAAGGGACGCTTTACAATCTGAAAACTCCACTGTGATGCTGGGTCCCTGGACTTCAGTCACAACATAGTGCAGCTTCTGGGACTCCTTCAACATCTTCCTGTTACTACCACCAAATTTACCGAGTACACGGTAGGCCACGTGAGAGATGCTGTCTGCAGGGTTGCGTAAAGTGCGCCACAGAGCCTGCCAACCAACACACTGCCATCAAAACTCCTGAGCAGGTAATAGACTCACGTGGTGCACAAATCAGATGTCAAAAGTCACAGAGACCACAAACAGCAGAGATCCTTCCTCCCACCTCTGCCCCCACGAACACACTTCTCTCCACCAGGGGAAACCACTGTTGTTGCTGTTTGGTGTATCCTCCCAGAAAGATTTTATATCTTTATAAAAATAACACACATATAAATGTAAATTTTCTTTCATGTTCCCGTAATACAAATGGTAACACAGGATAAATACTGCTTTGTAGAGAGTGACTTAATGACAGTCAAGAGACACGCCAAGTTACAGCAGCACAGCACTGCACTGCACCAACACTCATGTTTTAACGAGCTCCCTAGTGACACTCAGGTGACTTCCAATCTTCTGCGCTCACAACCTGCAGTATGATGGCCATGCACACCCACCATGCCAGGATGCGCATGTCCGGCTGCACAGTGAATTCTGGACTGGCAATTTGAGAGACTGAGACTGAGCACTGCTGCCCTGTCATCCTCCACATAAGTTGCATGCCCACAGGGTAGACCAGAAGGTAATTCACCAACGTACTTGGAGGGTAGTTCAAATTTACATTTCCCCTACTGGATGAAAATAAACTTATTTTTGTATTGTATTTAATAAATAATCCACTCACGTCCATTGCCTTTTATTAGTTGCCCTTTGATTACATCAGGGAAACAAGCACTTCATTCAGAGTAGGAATAAGTGTTTTCCTGAGTGTCTCTGATTTAGGTTACAAAGACTGTCACTTAAATTCTAGAAGCAGCAAAGGCCTGAGTTTCCTTCACATTTGTGGAGCATGTGTAATGGACAAGAACACAGGTTCTGGGGCTACAGTGTTTGATGCTTCACCGACACCTCAGACGCTTGAGTACAGCCAGCTTAGTCATCAGAGAGGCCTTTCCACCAAGAGCCTACAGATCCCAGCTGGGACACTGCTCGGTGGCACTACGACACTCACAGGAGGCACCTACGTCTCCAGGATTCCCCAGCGCCAGGGCTAGAGATGTGTGTGGGGGGTGGGCCCTTTCTAAAGACAGAGCCCTTAGAAATCCTCCTGTGCCAACAGCAGGTATTTGGCAAAGAGTGACGTAGAAGGGCTGAACCTGGGGCTCCCAAGCTGAGCTTACACTCCTGAGGGGACAGGAGTGATTCTCAGCTGCCCAGGGTCTGCCTTCCTGAACTAGGCCTAGCCCTCTCTGACAACAAGTAATGGTTCCTGAGGCAGGCTTGTAATCCTCCAAATGACTGGCTGGGAGAGTAGACCTGGAGGATCTGCCCAAACCCTATGCCATTTTCTCCAGGCTAGGTGAAGCCCAGGATCTAAATTTTAAGACTGTCAAGAAAAGCTCTCCCAACTTAACCTCCAGTCCAAGTTGTAGTCTTCAATTTTCCCAGCAGCTCCTGTACCTAAGGAGTTAATGAGCCTCCACTACAGAAAGCTAGTATTCTGGTCCCTGCCTGGAGTCAAGTACCCTAGACTAACCTACTGCCATCGACTTAACTCTGACAGGACAGAGTAGAATTGTCCTTTAACGTTTCTAAGGCTGTAATCTTTACAGAAGCAGACCACCACATCTTTCTCCTGCGGAAGGGCAAGCAGATTTGAACTCCCAACCTTCTGGTTAGCAGCCAAGTGCTTAACTACTGCACCACCAGGGTTTCCCGCAGACTAAAGTGGGAATAAGTTAACGGGCAACTTAAACCTTTAACAATTACCAACCACATTATAAATCAGTAATAGCAAAATGGGAGTAAGTAACCTAAGATATTTGACCTATGAACTTAAATGAACAGGGTATCCTCAAAATAACTTCCTTTGTTAGCTGCTCCTTTTCCCTTGGGATGGGGAACGCCCCTCTCTTTACTATGTACCCAAAGATCCTCTGTGGACAAAGACAGCACCTCAGATGTTTGGGGTCACCTGAAGCAACTGATCCGCACCGTGAAACCAGTGAGAGCCAAAACTCAAGGGGACTGTCTTGTTTTTCTGGGTCTAAGTTTTCCACCTGTGACCAGTACAGTCTTAACACTTTTCTATCACTCTCTGTTAATGCAAAGTATCTGAATTTTCCTTCTCTGTCAGGTTTCCACCTTACACAGGTTCTGGCTTTCACAGCTTTCACTGGAGTAACCCTAACACCTATCACTCAGTAACCATGACATCTGTCTTCCTAATTCAGGAACTTACTGAGAACCTAACTCTGAAAAAGAGGGCAATCCTGGTAACTACAGTATCTTTCCCCACAGTGAGCTCCAAGTGCAGCAGCCCAGCCTGCAGAGATCCCCCAGAGTGCAGAGTCACCCGAGAAGGCCCTGCACTATGGGGAGAAGAGCACCCAGCCTCAGCAACAGCAGATGGACAAGCACCCGGGACCCTGCTGCTCACCTGCATGAGCTCTGCGCGCACTGGCTGGATGTGGTCGTACAGGAAGTCGGGCTGAAGGTTGTCCACACACAATTCCAGGGTCCTCAGGCCCTGGCTCACCAAAGTTTGGGAGCCATTGAGTGCAGACACCAAGGGATCCATGAGCATGGGCAGATACGGCAGCAGCGAGCTCAGCCGTACGGGCACCGTGAGACACAGCTCCACGAAGAGGTCCTTCATGTGTTGCTTGTGCAGACCGCTCTGCAACATGTTCAGCCCTAACCCAGGGTGAAAACCATCAGAGGAGGAAAGGCATCACCACACACGCACCACTGTTAAGCGCACTAAGCAACCAGTCCGCCTCCCATCCGTCAACATCAAGTGTAATTCAAGGAAGACATGGTATACCAGACGGTCGCCTTCATCAGCTGAGTCTATCCCATAACTGCTCCCATGATCCCTTGTGTCTGCCGTGTGCACAGTGATTACAGAAGGCTACATGCAGTTATAATTAAAGTGTTAATACTATGCTCTTACAGTCAATATTATAGATTAATCATTATTATTAATCTTTTAACATTATACTACTAAGTCTTCAACACTACCGGGTGACCTTGAGTTGGAAGGTCATAGCCTTACATCTTTTTTAAGGCATTTTGTAGACCACAGCTAAGATCTATGCTCTAAGACAAAACTTTTTTTTTAAAGTTCACTTTTGTTTATTCTAAGAGAGGAGTCTCCTTCTTATGAAGCCAACATCCCATCTTTCCTGAGGAATATCGAGTCTTTACTAAGACATGCCAGCTAAGATACCTTCCCACAGAGAGCTTAGAGACCAGCCAGAGAGGTGAGGATATGTAACATCCCTAACACAGCGCATCCTGTGATGCAGGACGTGTGATAAGGACACAGAGAAACCAGGAGTCAGGAGGGAAGGCATCGCAGAGCTGCAGGACCAGATTCAGAATCCAAAGGACAAAGTGGATGAGAAGAGGGCTAAGTTCCCAGAAAGAAATCAGTTCAAACAAGACGACATGAGGTGCTATGTTCAGATAGCAGAAAGCAAGCAGGAGGAGGGAGTCGGAGGGATCAGAGCAGAGGGCTATGGGGGGGCAGCTGGATTGGATATGGGGTGACAGACAGTACCGCCTGCTACGGGCCACTGTAAACAACTTTGACATTCAAAGTGTTCAAGTACTTCTTGGTTGCCCACTGGGTGTCCTAAGCTGTAAGTGGCTTCTCTTTAAGGGATTTGCAAAGGAAATACAGGAGATTCAATCCCTTGGCAAGAGCTCACCCCATTTAAATAAATCAATCCCGAGGCTAGTGTGTCTTACCAGCATTCCTAATGATACAGGAGTTACAGGAGTCTAGTCATGCTCATTAGAGACTACATAAAAAATACTAACTAGAGATCAGCTTGTTGTTGTTATTTGCCGTCGAGTCAGCCCCGACTCATAGCGACCCCTCCTTGGGTTTCCGAGGCAGTATCACTACAGAAGTAGGATTGCCCGACCTTCCTTCCAAGGAGTAGCTGGTAGATTTGAACCGCCAGTCTTTTGGCTAGCAGTCAAGTGCCTTAGGTACTACACTACCAGAGCTCCTAGAGATCAGCTTAGTATCTTTTTTTTCTTTTTTATTCTGATTCTCTTCTAATCTAGGGCCCTCTGATCTTAACTAAATTCTAGTTTTGTGTAACATTGTGATGGTTAACTATATGCCAACTCAGATTACGGTTTCCAGTGATTTGACCCGTACTAGACTAGCTGCTTCCCATACTGTGACTTCATGCAATGTACAGTGAAACCTGAGCACCCAACTCAGCGGGCCTGCCTTAGTTTCTGGGTCTCACAAGTTTTCCGCCTTCGACAGGGTACAGTCTTACCACTTTTCTATCATTCCTGTTCGTGGAAAATACCTGAGCTTTCCTACTCTGACAAGTTCATGTCTTACACAGAGTCCGGCTTTCCCAGGTGTTACTGTAACATAATCACCTTCCAAACTGCAATCTACTGTAACGTAATCAACCAATCAGGGTGTGGTCTGCCTTCAAACTATAAACATTTTGGCAGAACCCAAATACTTGTATACACATTCTCCCCTGCACCCCCTCCCCTGATTCTACACTCTTCCCTCTTGACCTACGGGTTTTGGAACACAAGCCTGCAGAAGTCTCCACCCTGACTATGGATCTGGGGTTTGCCAATCACCCACAACTGAGTGCACCAATCCTTTGAGTTAAATCCCTCTCCCCAACCTCTGTAGATTTAGACACACATGTCTCACTGGTCTTGTTTCTCTAGAGAACCTAAGACACCAAACACTACAAAACACAACCAAGTTCTCACCAGGGTAACAAACCTTCCGATGTCCATTCAACTCTGAATTGAGAAGGAAGAGCCCATCCCTGAGCAGGGCTCCCATCATCATCCTCTGCCTTTAAAAAGAGAGTGGGTGGCATGCACACACATCCCCATCCCCCCCAGGACCATGACCAGGTGCAAAGGACAAATCCCAGCAACCAAGGGCCAGCACTGACTGACATACACACACAGACACAGACATACACACACACACACACAGAGAGAGAGAGCGAGAGAGAGAACCAAAATCATTGCGAGAGAGAGAGAAAGAGAACCAAAATCATTGCCCCAACCTTGCAGCAGGTTCGGCAGGAGAGGCAAGAATTCCTGATACAGGAGATCATGGCTTCCTCCACCAATGGAGCGGAACAGCGCCCGGAGCAGCAGGAAGTAGTTGTAGGGCTCCTTGGCAGTCTGCGCGAGCTCCATTGAACTGTTCACAATCTTGTGCAGGTGAGGCTGTGCCAGAAGAAATGTCAGGTTAGTGGCATGAAATGAGGAGCGGCGGTACCATCAAGGCTCACGCTCAAAGGGTCTCTGCGTAGCCCGAAAGGACCAAAAGCTGATCCTGGTGAATTTATTCTAAAACAACTTTCTAACCTTTACTAGACTCAAGTTAGTTTTCCTTAGAAGCACATGAGGGTCTGTGAGAAGCACTGCACAGGTTCCTGTCCCGCTACGTAGTTATGAGATGCTGAAAAGATGACTTTGCAGCTGGAGCCAGAGGTCCTACCAGCTCGGCAGTTGTCATGGACACAGCCACTCCTTCACAGGACAAGATCAAGTAAGTCTAAAGTGGCCTGTTTCCTACACAATCTAACCTTCACTATAACTAAATATAGTATGTGAAAGTTTGAATGAGTCCCCAAATACATGTGATGTGTAGGATTTGAGGAGACTTAAATGGTGCAGTGGTTAAACACTGGGCTGCTGACGGAGAGGCCGGTGTCTCAAACCCAGCAGCAGCCTCACAGAAGGAAGGGGTGGCAGGTGGCTCCCATAAAGGTTTACAGCCTTGGATCCCTATGGGGCAGTTTTACTCTGTCTAGAGGGTCACTATGAGTTGGAATCAACTCAGTGCCAATGGGTTTGGGGTTCTTTTGTGTTCATATAAGCATTTAACAAAAAAAAAAAAAAAAAAACTTTATTAGCTTATAGTAACTTTAGTCAACATTTGAAATCAAATTTACTTTTTACTTTATATTTTAAAGTACTAAGTACTTGGACACATCACAGATTAAGTTAACATAACATTTTTTCACATGAGTATTTAAAGTGAACTATAAACTGCTAGCACAATCATTGTTAGTATACGTGGCATAATATTTATTTTACAGAATAAATCATCTATACAAATTAATACTCTCTTGGCAAAAAGTTCTATAAAATCTGTTTCCTGACTATTTTTCTTGAACAGTAATCTGACATCCTACCAGTACTTGTCCTGCTAGGTTTATTCTGTTTCTTGTACTATAATGCAGCGTAATTTTGGCAAAAAAAAAAAAAAAAATCTTTGAAGATACAAAATTATGTGAACATACATTTATAATGATGTATTTTATACCTTAAAAATAGGATGTTCTCCTTTTCTAGGGACAAAAAGTAGTGCTAAGGCTGTTAGTGACTGTGACACACTGCAAAAAGCTGAAGGGTTGTCCCCTGAAAGCACAGGTGACCGGCACTCTGTCACCACCTGCCCACACACTCCACACAAAGGCCATTTGGTGCCAACAGCCTCAAAGCTTCCCCTACACTGCGAAGTCTCTCTTCAGACACAGAGTGTTAATATTCGATTTTCTGTATGAATTAAAACAGTTTGCCATAAATAGATGTGAATTTGGTAAGACTTTTGTTACGCCACCTGCTGCTTCTCGCGGGTTATATAACCATGGGGAGGTTACGTCAAATGATTAAAGCTTACACAAGTTGGTATCATCAGTGATCTGTGAAAACGAGTAAGGAGATCTTATCTCTCTAAGATGATCTTAATAAAGACACAAACTGGTTAGAATAATTAATTTAAGGAGGAAGATAAACACAGTACTGAAGCGTGATGCCACCAAGCACAGCCACAGGAGTGTGAACACGCACAACAGGAAAAGCGGGGCGCAGCCTGCTGACAAAATGTGAAGACATTTCTCCTCTACTCTTTGTCTAACACTCAGTAATTTTTTTAAAAAAATAAGGAAGGTGTGTTCCTGTTTTATTTGTGTAATCTGGGAAAAGAATTTTTTTTTTAGTTGAACAAAGACTGGTGGCAGCAAAACTAAATACAACTCACCTTCCTGACCAAGAGAGATATCAATTTTCATCTCAAATCATCAGGAATATGACCTAATGCTCTGCTTAAAAACACACGAAATGCTTCTCATGCTAAGAAGGCCCTTACTTGTTGCAAGTATTTCTTTATTCAAAGAGTACTTTACAAATAAAGAAAATATCTGTTTCTGTTCCAAAGTGACAACAAAGACCAAACCACAAGCCCCACCCCACCCCAGAACACACAGTTCCACCCACGTGGGGTTGCTATGAGTCGGAACTGGCTCGACGCACCCACCAACACAACAGGTCTAAAGGAGCTTTACCTTCAGCATTTGTTCATTTTCAGCCGCAAACAGGGAGACAGAGCCAAAGACCAACTTAAACAGCTTGAGGTACAGGTTGGAAAGCTCCACATTGGAGCCCATTTCTGGCAGGCGGTCAAGTAGATATTCTACCAGAATTGTAGCAAACAGGGCAGAGGTAGTAGGGTTTGCCAAGAAGGAATTGGCAACAATCTGTCAAAACAAGAAACCAATGTGACACAAATAATCCTGTGAAGCAGCTTCAGAACAAAGAAATGAACTTTCAAAATCAAACCTGCACCCAACACTCCAAGAGATTATTAATCCACCAAAGGGAAGAGACATGAAATGCATTTACTGAGCACTGAGTTGAGCACTTACTTCAAGTACTTAACCTGTTATTTCATTCAAGAGCCAGTACTCAACAGGTAATTGATTTCTACTAACCAAAGAAAGAGGCCCAAGAACCTTGGATCTTTTGAAATATTTACTTTTTTAATACTGTGACCTAATGTTTCTTTAAATTTTGCTCTACAAACACATCCCTAGCTGCACTGGAAACAAGTATCCTCAAAATTAACACAGTAACAACAGTCAACACATAAACAAAGACACTGAGAGTTAATTTTGAAAGAACGTCAGAAAGGCGCTTCATACCTGAAGGGCATAATTTTTTGAAATTCTTTCCACCATATAAGGGACTGTGGTTTGAAAGATTTCTTTAAACGTTAAGGGATTCATCATCGTAAACACTCCGGCAAAGTGTTCCAATACCTCCTTCTCCTCTTTCATTCTAACTGTCTGGCAGTTTGCAACCCGAATGTAGGTCTGCCCATTTCCTGCTATCTGGACCTACCACAGGAGAAAAAAAAAAACACAGGCATTTACAGTGAACTTCTCTGGATATGTTCCAGGACATGATCAGATCACTTACACAGTTAAAAAGGTACTTGCAACAGATAATAAATGCTCCCCAAACCATTTAAATCCTCTCGTCTCCTGGAATAGTCAATGATAATGGCTCTCTTCCCTTTAATCTTGCAGGGTTTTAAAAACAACTTTTTTCACACTGTTTAGAATAGCAACAGCATTGGTTTTACAACACGTTTCTAACTCCTTATATTCCGCTTACACAATCTCCCCCACAATATACACAAATTTGGAGTCTCATAAGAACAGAAGCAAACGTGGGCATATAAACACGTGGACCGTATTTACATTTGTAGATAACAGCAAGTCTTTCAAGACCCATCCATTACTAGCATTTTTAATTCTGAGAGGTCCTTTTGCTACTCCATATGTACGTTTAAGGGCACTTTCTTACCTGATAAATATCTAAAGCCTGCATTGCATATTTCACAAGCTTTATGTAAATCTGAGTCTCTTTGGGCTGCAACTGCTTGTTGGGAATGAACTGAGCTTCTGGAAAAGAGAATACATATTAAATTAACACGAACACAACCAACTACCCGTGCCACTAACAATGTGTGTCTAGGGAGCAGTGTTACCACTGTGGGCTAACATCTGTCTAGGGAGTGGTGTTACCACTGTGGGCTAACATCTGTCTAGGGAGCAGTGTTACCACTATGGGCTAACATCTGTCCAGGGAGCGACGTTACTGCTGGGGGCTAACAACATCTGTCTAGGGAGCAGCGTTACCGCCAGGGGCTGATGACACATGTCTAGACAACTAGGAAGCACCATTTACACCAGGGGCTAACAATGTGTCTCTGGGGAGGGCCGTTACCGCCAGGGGCTTTGCACGACGTGATGCCCCAGGTGATGGTCTTCACACCGCACACCAGCGTCTTCACCAAGCTGCGGCAGTCTGTGACTTGGAAAGTCTGCTTGTCCTCTTTGTCCTTCTCTCCTTGCTTCTCGAAGGGAGGCACTGGTGCAGGGGTCACAGGTGTGGGTGGGGCAGGGGGTAGGGGAGGGGGCGGGGCAGGGGTAGGAACAGGGGCTGGGGAGGGGGCGGGGCCTGGTGCAGCTGGGGCCGTGGGCACCCCGGGCAGAGTGGCTTCCACGGCCCCAAGTTCAGATTGAGGCTTGCACTTCTTAAAAATAGCAGAGAGCTGGTAGCGAGCAATGGTGTGGAACTTGAGAACAAACACCTGACATGAAGAGGAAGCAGAGGAGAAGACGAGATCATTCCTCAACAGGCCAGACAACCCTTTCAAATGAGGAAAAGTCTCACAGACCGCCTGCTGAGCTTTTCTCCTATTCTCCCAGCAAGAGGTGGAGGACCTGACATTTCTCTCAGTACCTCCTTCCTCTGTGCCAGAGAGAAGGGAAAATAAGTGGGTCCTTTTTTCCTTAAGTAACTACAACAAATAACCCTGTCCCCACTGCTTTGTGAAGAACATGAGTCTGCAACGCCAAGTGACGCCTAAGGAGCAGAACCAGGATTTGAACTCAGGACTGCAGCACTCGTCACCTGTGCTCTTCCCTCCACAACCACACACCTGCCCACAGGTGGCCTTGGAAATTAAACCTTATCCCTTACCCAGGCACCCAACTGGGTATCTCTCCAGAAATGTCAGAACTCACTCAGTATTTTGCTGCGAGGCACTTAGAAAACACCACCTCCAATTTCTTGCCAGGAACTTGTGTTTAAGAGCTTTTGTGTGTTATTTAACTCTCACAGTCTATGGGACAGATACTATTATTATCACCAGAGAAGAATAAACTGTATCTCACCTGTATCTCATCAAGGACGCCAGGTCAGTTAGTGGGGAAGCTGGGACGTCTAAGTCCTATACTTTGACAATAGGACCTGCTCATAAACTTTCCAGTACAGCCGATCCTCGTTATTGGCAGACGCCACATCTGCCTACTCGCTAAACTCCGGAACCCCAAAATCAATATCCCCTGTGTTTTCAGTCATTCACAGACAGGTGAGTGCACAGAGCAGCAAGCACACCCCCAGCTGGTGTGGCACTGGCTGACTCAGTGTTCACAAGGGCTTTACAAAACACAACCACTGTGGTCACTGAGAAGTGACTGTACTTGTACAGCCTTGGCAGTCTACGAGACTGAAGAGCACTCAAGAGAGGCAGAGTTACCTCAAGCATCCGCATCAGGACGTCCCTCCCGTTGCCACTCTCCTGCTCACTCTTGGAGCGGATGCAGTCCACCAGGTTCAGGAGGAGCTTACAGGACATGGTCTGGATGCTACTAGGCAGGGACTCATCATCTATGTTCTTGGCAAAGAGCTGTACGGCGAGGGAGAGGTCACCCAGGGGCAGGTGCTGGCGCACGTGGTGGACCAAGTCAGCTAACGTGCTGTAGGCGAGAGGCCTGCAGGCAGAGACACTCCATTAGTGCTCTGGCTCACTCCCAGACCCAAGCCATCTAAACACTTCCACATGGCCACATTTGCATGCCACCATGCATAGCCCGGTGGACACCACCACTGAAGTGGCACAGCCATTAGGGACAAACTGTGAGTGGCCCATTTCCGGACATTAGTTTCTCCTAACTACATGAATAAAAGGCACACCTGTCTTAATTGTTTTAACATTTTTTTTCACTAGGTTAACTTTATGTATGTCATAGCAAAAATTCCTAATAGATACTGGAACGTATGGTTAACCCAAGGAGAAACAGTGACCAGCTTGATCGTACACCGAATGGGTTTTGTTGCTCAAAAATCAATAGTATACGCCAATTAACACTCTGTATGTTGTGACCACTTTATAAAGAGATGTTCTTCCACTCAATAAATATTTAGACACCTGCCATATGCCAGACTTTGGGCTAGGCACAAAAATTACCACAGTGAACATAACAAATAGAGCTTTTGTCCTCATGAAGCTTATTTACAGGAAGACAACACACAAATTAAGTCGGAAATTATATATGAATGAGTGCTATGGGAAATGTGAAAAGGAGGTACTGTGAGAAAGGGCAGTGGGATAACTACATTCTAAGGGTGCCAGGGTATGCCCCTCTGAGGTGACAGTGAAACTCAGACCCTACAGATAAAAAGGGATCATGAGACAAAGGGACATAAATCTCTAGGTTGAAGAAATAGGAAGGACAAAGGCCCAGAGGTAGAAGATGGCTGAAGCAAACAAGGAACAGGAACAGCAGAGTGCAGCGTGCCAAGGCAAATCAGTGAAGGGAGCTAGACAGGCCAACATATCCAAGGCAGGTCAAGTGAGGGAAGCTCCAGAGGGCACCCTGCCCAATACGTGAATGAGGGGAGGCACAGGGGCTAGCACATCTGAGGCAGGTTGGTGAGAGGAGCTACAGAGGCCAGTGTCACAGAGACAGGTCAGTAAAGGCAGCTACAGAGGAGAACACACCTGAGATAGGTCAAATGAGGGGAGTCGCAGAGGACAGCAAACTCAAGACAGTTCAGGTGAGGGGAGCTGCAGCAGCCAGCATGTCCGAGGCAAGTCAAGTGAGGGGAGCTACAGAAGCCAGCACATCTGAGTCAGGGCACTAAGAGGAGTGGCAGAGGCCCACGTGCCCAAGACAGTTCAAATGAGAGGAGCTACAGAGGCTAGTGCCCTGTATCTGAGGCAGGTCAAATGAGGGGAGCTGCAGAGGTCAGCATGCCCAAGACAGGTAAAGTAAGGGGAGCTGCAGAGGCCAGCATGTCTAAGGCAGGTCAAGTGAGGGGAGCTACAGAAGCCAGCATGCCTGAGGCACATCAGTGAGGAATGCTGCTGAGGCCATCACATCCAAGGCAGGTTAACTGAGAGGAGCTAAAGATGCCGATGCGTCTAAAACAGGTCAGTGCAAGAGAGTAACACAAAATGCTAGACAAATGGGCAGGGTCCAATCACACTGGGACCTGTGTACCATGCTCAAGAGTCTGGCAAGAGGAAGCCAGTGGAGGCTTTTTAAGCAGGAGTTACATGATCTAATGTCCAGTTCCAGTCAGGTTCAACCCCAAGTTACAAAGATTACCTTATTTAATATGTATAATGATTATACAGGAAATAGTGAAAAAGCCTACATCATATCAAAGTACTTTGTATATTTTTCCAATGATCATGCTCCCCTTATTAGAAGCAAAAAATTAATGTTGATTTATTTTACAATGTAAAAAATAAAATGTTCATTTTCTCCCTTAAAAATAGTAAGCACACTCACTACTTTTTTTAAAAGTATAAGAAACAAAACAAGGAAAAAAAATGCACCATTTTAAAATATTAGCCATGTCACTCGATCTCTTTGTGCAAAACTGTAAGGTCTTCTTCTCGTTTCTTCTTGATAACTCATCAAATATTCTCTTATAACAAAAAGATTCATTTGCTATACAGAAAGCAAAAAAGCTAATGTCTATAGATAAAGTTTTACTTTCAATTTAAATCAAGACAACAATTTTCACTTTTCCCTTTAAGGTAAGACACACAAAATTAAGCTAAGCCTTTTTAAAAATTCCTGCAATTATCAATCCAGTGGGTGAGTAAAGCCCCAAGGGCCAACATTTGTTGAAACACTCATAAACATAAACTGCCAGTAACTGCTGTCATTGGCATATAATTAACTGGTATCATGAGTTTAATCTCATACCTTAGAGTTTCCCGAGCAGTATATCCTGAACCAATTAGTATGGATTCATCGAACAGCTTGTCCATGCAAGGAATGAACTCTAGAATATAGATATGCATTGTACATATTACCAACAAAAACATTTACATAGTAAATTACTTAATAGTGCTTTCACAGTGGACAGTGTGCAGTCAGGCGATCCAGGTTTGAAACAAGAGAAGACAGGAAAAGGGCACGTACTGTTTTAGTCTAGCACCTGGGCTCTGCGGGTTCACACAAGCCACCTGCTGTCGAAGATACAGCTGGGATCACACCCAGCATCAGACAAGGAACGAAGAAAAAGTAAACTTTGTGCCCATCAGAGAATCCACCTCCCCAGTACCTACTGAAGCCATATTATGACGAATTTCCATCGTCCTTAAGAGCTGCCACTGCTACCTAGACCTCTCTGCAGAAGGGGGTACTATCTCCTAAATACTCCTATCTCTATGCCCTGAAGTCCTATTTCTTAAAGGAGCACTGGAGATGCAGTAGTTAAGCCCTATTCCATGGGGCAGTTCTACTCTGTCCAGTAAGGTCACTATGAATCAGAATCAACTTGATGGGAATGGATTTGTTGTTGTTTATAGTTAACCATTACAGAGAAACAGGGTATTTTTCATATACATCACAAAGATTTGGGAAATATTTCAATGTTCTCCTAAGTATGGATCCTGGATTATGGTTCCCAATTCCCTGGAAAAGGGTAAAGAGAAGCTCACTGGAAGTCCTCTCTCCCTCTAATCCTATAGTTGAGACCATCACCAAACCTCTTTCCTCCTTCTGTAAAGGCCTAACTGTGGTAGAAACAGCAGGTAGCCACTTGTAGAAACTTCACATTTTAGGAGATATGTGTGAGATAAGTAGACAAATGGGGGAAAGATCCATTTTCCAGGGCTCTAACTCCACATTCCCCTTAGGTTACCTGGACCACAAACATCCAGAAGGACATCGTGGTGCACTAAATTAGTTGGTATGGCTTTCCTACCCTGTCTTTGTGACTCCTACCAGATTACTGGGTGAGCCATGCAAATAAGGTGTATGGAATTCTAATGTGAGCATTGGTTAGGTTTGTCATCCTGCTAGGCTTAAAATGTAGCATAGTGCCTAAGACACTTGACTGCTAACCAGAAGGCTGGCGGTTCAAACCCACCAGCCACTCCTCAGAAGGAAGGCTGGGCAATCCTACTTCTGTAGTGATACTGCCTCAGAAACCCAAGGAGGGGTCGCTATGAGTCGGGGCCGACTCGACGGCACATAACAAAAACACAAGAGGCAGAAAAGGGGATCTCACTGCCATCAAGAGAGAAGAACCAGAGGAGGAATGGAGCACATCCCTGGACCTGAGATCCCTGCGCTGGATCTCCTTGGCAGAGAGACAGCAGAGATGATCGGCTGAGAAATCAAGAGACAGAGCAGTGGGCTTGCCGGCCCATGGAACAAGAAAGCTGAGCACCTTTGGGCAAGAGGCTTGCTGGTGGAGTGGGGTGCACATAGATGCCCTTATCAGCAGAGCTAAAAGAGCTCTGTAACGCTTACCTGAGCAGGGTAGAGACCAGGCCAAAAGGCCAAGGGCCAGAGAGACATGCCTAAGGGCATAGCAGCAGGAAGACTGTCCTGATTAAAGAACTTTATCTTGAGAGCATTCCTAAACCTGAATAGTAGTAACCTGTTACTTCCCTAATAAACCCCAAAATCCTGAGTATTATCTGTGAATTCTGTGTGGCCACTGCAATGAATTATCAAACCCAGCAGAGAAGTAGAATGTCATGGGAGGAAAGCTGGTGGGAAGTTTTGGTAAAAAGGCTGGATAGTGGTGGCAAGTCTAGCCTCATAGGAATAAGCCTTGGGCAGTCGATGGTGTTCCTGTCTCCTCTTGTGACGTTAGAAGAGGTCAGAAGACACCGCCCCCATGTCCTTTTTGCAGACATCTAGATTCAGGAACAAGCCTGACATATAGCCAGCTTCAATAGATCAGGATGGACCTTCACCAGCAAACATCTACTGAAGGTCAAAGGCATCAAAGAAATGTAAATACTAGAAGGCACAATGTACCTTCCTGGTTAATTACCAACACAAGGCACCACGGAAGAGATACCAAGGGAAAGAAGCAACAAGTAGTCCTTTCTGAAGTCTGAGGAGGGCAGGTGCCTAGACTGGCCCCAACGAAGCGGAAGGAAGCAGCAGCAGCAAAGGGCTCAGATGCCAAAAGCTGGAGGGGCAGGGGACATGAGAATAAAGTACAAGGAAAGGAAGCAGCACTGATTTCCAGACCTTCATGACCCAATGTTCCTTTTCCATTAAAAAAAAAAAGAAATTGTAAAATGTGATGCTGTTATCTGTTTAAATCCTAGGAATTACTGCAGGCTTCAAAATAAAGTATCCTGTAATACCTTGTTGGGAGCTCTGGTGGCGTAGTGCCTAAGGCATCTGACTGCTAACCAGAAGGCTGGTGGTTCAAACCACCTTCCTCAGAAGGAAGACTGGGCAATCTATTTCCATTGTGATACTGCGTCAGAAATCCAAGGAGGGGTCGCTATGAGTCAGATCCAACTCCATGGCAACAAGTTTGGTTTTTGTTTGATAATACCTTGTTGAAAAAGCCAGCCAGTGAAGTGGTTAACCACCAGAAGCCTCTAAGGCTGAATTCAACTACTCCAATGTGATCGAACTGTGCAGACTAGCAAGTTGAGAATCCACCCAATATTAAGGAACAGGTGTTAGCAAAGACTGAAATCCAGCTTTATGGCCTCAAAATAGAGGGTCAAACTATGCAGTGATGAACAGAAATTATCTGGGAATCATGACAAAGTTTTTTAATTTGCCAGCACTTTGACAAGTAGAAATGTGGTATCCAAAACCAAACCAAACCCACAGCCGCCGAGTCAATTCCACCTCATAGCGGCACTACAACACAGAGCAGAACTGCCCCATAGAGTTCTCAAGGCTGTCAATCTTTGCAGAAGCAGACTGCCTCATTTTTCTCCCATGCACCCCAGCTGGTGGTTCAATCCTCCAAGCTTTTGGTTAGCAGCCCAATGCTTTAACCACAGCGCCACTAGAGGTCCTTGAAATCTGGTACACAGCTCCAAAATCCTTATGTGGCAGAAGAATGCAAAGGTAATCTGAGAAAGGCATTGGGGCTAACTCATCCATCATCCACTTCAGTACAAGTATAATTTAAAATATTCCATTTAGAATTCTTCTGTTGTGATACGAATGCATAAAAAAGCAAAAGAAACATTAAGTCGAACAGCAGTGAACTCAAGGTGTGTGGAGACTGTGATCCGGAAGGCATCACGGACCTTCTCAGAGCCTAGAGGAGCTAATGCACGTGTCTGCCCTGTAAGTTTTTGTGCTCACCTTTCTTTCCTGCACTTTGCTATATATGTTACATTTCACTGAAAGTTTTAAAATGTTCTATATTCCTTTCAAAACAGCTCTGGTGGCATAGTGCCTAAGGCATCTGACTGCTAGCCAGGAGGCTGGCGGTTCAAATCCACCAGCCACTCCACGGAAGGAAGAATGGCAATCTATTTCTGTAAAGATTTACCACCTCAAAAACTCAAAAGGGGTCACTATGATTTTCAATCAACTTGATGGCACGAGTTTGGTTTTGGTTTATATTCCTTTCAGTTCTGTCTACATGCAATAATCACTCTGTAATTTATATTTTAACAACACAAAAATATCTTAGTTTTACTGAGTTAACTGGTGGCACAACAGTTGAAAGTACCTAGCTGTTAACCAAAAGGCTGGCCATTTGAGCACACCCAGCCGCTCTGGTGATCCGTCCCCATAAAGATGACAGCCTAAAAAACCCTATGGGGCAGTTACAGTGACCCCATGTGATAGGGCCTAAGTTGGAACTGATTTGATGGCCCTCACAACAACTGTATTAATTCACGGGTATGCACTTAATTACACTCTTCCTCTCACATTAGAAATTACATAAGGAAGCCTCACTCCACTAAGTTACAAACCAGTGATAAATGAAGTATTTGATACTGAAATTTACTGGGGGAAATTCTAGCTCCAAACTAGACCAAAACTTCAACTTAATGTTTTAGGTATGTTCAACAGGAAAAGTATTTCCCAGTACAGACCAACGAAACCAAGTATCAGCCTTGAGCGTAGAGAGAGGCAATTCATCATTTTCACAGTGCAGAGAGAAAAAAACATTTCTCCCTCAACTTCGGAAGACTGCTGGCTGGGAGCGAGTAAGCAGAAGGCTGTTTGCCATTTCAAAGGTACCCAGTCAAAGGCACAAAATACCAAAAAACATTCAGAATGTAAGCTACAGTAAGGAACTGATCCTGTCAATCACGAGATTGAAAGAAGACACAGGAGAACCCTGGTGCCAGGGAAAAAGTGGCAGAGAGAGAGGGAAGCAGGCAGAAAGAGAGCAGTAGGTAGGTGAAGTCCATGTGCAGTTGAAACACCCATGGGAGCTAAAGACACAGCACACCAGGGAACGTCAGCCAATCTACCCTCACCCCGCACAAGACAGCAAGAGGACTGGGCAGCCATTCAAGACCAGACCACATACGGTTTCTTAGCTCTGTCGTGAGGATGTGCTTCGCAGCAATCAGAAGCTCCTTTCTGAGGTGGGCCGTCTCCGCTGGGCAATTTGAGAGTAACTGTAACATCCCTTTCACCATCTGCTGAGAGTACTTGGTTACCAGCTCCTACAAAAGTGAGAATTAAACAACTGTGATGTTAACCAGTGGATGTTAAGAAGAATTCATAGTTTAGACGCTTTTTAAAAATTCAACTAAGACCAAATGTGGCACAAAGCACCTTCATTGACATAATAGACCTACTAAACAAGCAACATCCAAAAAGGTTTCAAGAGACCTAGAGGGACACATACCAGCCTAGGTAGCACTTAACTTTCACATGGCAGGATTATGCACATTGTCTTTGAATGTCTGTGCATTCTCCCAACTTTTAACAGTGACCAGGTATTACTTTATTGCTTGGTGTGTGTGTGTGGGGGGGGAGTATAAACGCAAATAAACTTTTTGAGTAAATACTTTTTACTGACCCGGCCCACCGATGGAAGTGGTAAATGACACCAGACACACTTATAGTCGATTCACCAAAAGATCTAATCGTGGGACCAGAAGAAAAATCAGTGACTGCCAGGGACCAGCAGGAGAAGGTGCCCTGGTGGGACAGTGTTTAAGCACTCAGCTACTGACCCAAAGTTCATTGGTCGAACCCACCAACAGCTCCACAGGACAAACACCTGGCAACCCACTCCTGTAAAGATCACAGCCTTAGAACCCCTATAAGGTACTGCTACACTGAGTTGCTACGAGTTGGGATCAACTCAATGGCAATGGGTATGTTCGTTCATTTTGTTTGTCAATAGGAGAAGACGGACTACAAATGCATGCAAGGGAACTTTGTGGGGTGATGGAAACGTTCTACAGTTGAATGTGTTGGTAGTTACCTAACTGGAAAACAGTTGTCAAATCAAAGAACTGTACTCATACAAAAAGAGAATTTGATTATTTATAAACATTATCTCAGTAAACTTAAAAGCCAATGAATTTACCTGGTAAATTCTGATGATGTAAGCTAAAAACGACAATGTTTTGATCTGAGCAGCAATGAAGTCAGCATATAACTCCTTGTTATAAAGCTTATGTTGCCTAAACGAGAATTAAATAAAATATACAAAATATTAGCTCTCAACGATTTAGTTCAAGTTAATATAAAATAAAGACTACGGAACAAGCCCCAAAGTTCGATTTCTACACAGACCAGAGTACCACAGCAGCAGCAGTAAGCCACTTACACTGACTGGTAGGCAGTTCCTAAGAACATGAGAGGCTTAGAAGGCGTAAGCCATATAGTTCTAACCATTCCATAGCAGTGGTCAAGTAAATTCCAGAAAGCCAAGGCTAGACTGGTACACTCATCCAGCAAGGAGTTTAAGCTCAATGCGAGATGCCCTGCTACGTGTCAGGGGTTGGTGATGATCCCTCCTCAGCTGGTGCCCTCAAATGACTCAGAGCCTGATAGGCTGCAATTTAGGAGAGTCAGGGATAAAGGCCTCAGAAGCAACCTCCTGAAGTTTGACAAGAAGCTTCACTGAGAGGCTTCCAAGGATGCACAGTGGCCTACTCAGAGACCTGGGGTGACAGGTGAGGGCGAATGAAGGCAGAGAAGAGCATTCTAGCTAAAAGCAACAGCAGGCACAAAGGCTTAATGGTAAGAAAGTCTCAGATATCCTATAGCGCTAAGTGAATATAATAATGTCTGATGCCATTTCTAAATTTCTAAGATACCAAAAAACCGATACATTCTCTCACTTTTTCACAATTAAAACTATCATCATTAAAAAACAAGCCTGAAACATAAAAAATGCAGATTTTTACAAAAACTGTATCACCTATAACTTTCACGTCTTAAGAAAGACAACAGCAAGTACGTGTTTACTTGGAGATGACACACCAGGGCAGCCGACTACGTCACCGTCCTGAGAAATCTCACCTGGCTTGTGCAGATACCTGAATGGCGATGGTATTCATGATCAGAGGCACAAATTCCGCAACAACATTGTGGATGTTCACCTTGTAGAGCTAAAAGCAAACACATCAAGAGTTTCATGCTTTCATAGTTGGCTACAACAAAATACAAGGGCTCGTGAAAGAAACTACCAGGCTCACTACAAGAGTTAGCAGACACATCTCATCATACACGTCTATCTGCCACAGAAAATCAGACGTGAATTTTGTCATAAAATAAAAAGCTTTATTAAAACCCCAAGAAAGTAATAAGCAAAACACATACCTGATACATTAAAACAACAATAATAGGCAACTCTGCCAACACTTTCAGAGACAGCGACCCTCTGGGAATGATGGAATGCTGTGAAGACAGACAGACGCTGGTTATCCCTGCAATGTCCAAACCACTATCCCACCACTAAGCACAACCACACTGAAACAAAGCGAAACTGCAACACAACTTTGTCAACATCTGAGAAGAGCGAGCCAAACGATTTTGAAAACGAAGTACATAGAACTACAATTTAATCAAAAGTTTTCCTGTTTTCCAACATAATCACTTAGGAAAATCTGTCCAAATTTAGTGACTCAAATCACCTGAGAAATTTTCAGTAATACTTACTGAAAAGAACAGCAGAAAGCACAAATTTACACAGCATCTTTATTAGAAGGTTTATTCAAAATCTAATTTCTTGTTTACTCACAGCACAAATAGAAATATACTGCAGAACCATTTCAGTAAAACAAGGGCAGACAAAATATTTTTAACTCGAAAGTCACAAAAGTAAAGTATGAGCAAATGCTTCCAACATGTTACCTACGTGGCAGACACTGCTGAACAAGCATTACCCTAACGAGGTCCCACGAGACAGGCTTTTCAGACACTGAGAGAAGAAGTAAGGGCAGCCTGACGTGCATCAGCTTTCCTACAGAGAACCGGAGTCGGGGGACTGGCACCACTCCACAGCTCTCTGCCCCCGAAGCCTATGGTCTCAGGCACCAAAATACAAATTTATACAGTGTTTTAAAGGACTTCATCACACCTCTCCTGAGCATTGTGCTCTTAAAGAACTATCTATATGGGATCAAAGGAGCTATGGTGGCATAGTGACCAAGGCATTTGATTGCTAACCAAAAGGTTGGTAGTTCAAACCCACCAGCCACTCCAGCAGAAGGAAGACTGGGCTATCTACTTTCATAAAGATTTACTGCCTCGGAAACCCCAAGGGGGTCACTATGAGTCAGATTCAACTCGATGGCAATGAGTTTGGTTTTGGTTTTTATATGGGATCAAACTGGCAACAGCAATTCTAAAGGTTATGTAAGAAACTGAGGCAGTGAGCTCATGTTAACGGAGGAGGAATAATTTAGAGAAAGAGGGTGAGAATGGCCCCACAATTCGAAGAATGTCATTGGTACCACTGAATTGTACACGGAGATGCTGTTGAATGGGTGTATGCTGTGCTGTGCGTGTTTTCAACAATAACCCTCCCCCAGGGGAAAAAATTGTATTGAGGTTCAAAGACTCCGAGCTAAGAATGCAACCAATGTTCTCCCTCCACCTGGTCGGGAGCTCTTTCCAAAAGGTTAGTCTGGACTTCCACCACAGCTCATCTTCCTATCCTTGCCCCAATGGTTGCTGACATCTCACCATCACAACTCCCGGGCTGCCCAGCAGAATCACTGATTTTCTCTCATGCATACATTGCTGTGTTTTTGTTTCTTTTAAATGTCCCTAAATGTTTTAAAAAAACTTAAGACATCCAGAAAAATCAGCACCTCCTATATCAAGCACAGGAGAGAGAGATAAAAGTACACGAGAGAGGGACAAACACGACGACGCACCGTTCTCGTCTCGCTGTCCTCACGCTCGGGATTGACTTTCACTGCAATGGTGGTTATCATACCAACCATTTCCGGTGCTGGAACTGTGTTCTCTGAGATCACCTGAGGGTTCTCAAAGTAGCGGTTCTACATAAAAGGAACAGACAACATTTTCCCAGAGTCAGATACAATATTCCTTCCTAACAGACCTGAAGATTGGTGGGCTCAGAGTTCCTTAAACATGCACCACCAGAGCTGTAACAAACCCTTACGTTCAGCGTGTTTCTATTGCACTAACTCCATATTTGGGGTAATGCATTCACTTCCCAGTCCCCTAAAGTCAAGTCTACAGCCTTAGAGCTGTCTAAAATCAATAAACATGAAATGCTCACTTTACTCCATGAAAAAAATGACAGGATGGAGACAATGTTCCCTACCTCCAAAAGAAAAAAAAAAAAAAATCCTGTGCCAAACTTTCCTACTCTTTTCTGGCTAATTAAAAAAATTAGCTCTAAACCCACATTTCATTACCACACCTCAGGGAGGCAGAGACCACTCCTCCAAGGGTGGAAACTAGGGGTTGGTCCCATTAACTTTTCAAACAGTCTCCTAAACAGAGACCAGTCACAGGAACAGAGGCAGAGCATAGAGATGTTTTAAAAGCCAGACCCTCACGGTCATCCTTAGTTCTCAAATGAATATGAGCTTCACATTAAACAACACAGCTTCTTACCAAAACCAGCCTCCAGAGCTTGGAGAGAAACGGCAGGTGACATGATATGCTAACTCAGAAAGTAATTAAAGTTTTCTACATTCTTAGCAGATTAAAATCCTTAAAAATACGAAAAAAGGTTAGTTTAAAAAATTTTAAATTTGAAATCTTCACCCAAATCCTAATAAAAAAAAAAAAAAAAAAAAAATTTAAATTTGAAATAAGCCCAGAAGTTTGTTTGGCACATAAATTTAAGCAATGATTTTTGCTGAGGTGGCATTTGTGAGACTGAAAAACCGAAAACCAGCAAAATCAGCAACAAGGCAACAGGCAAGGGACACACGAGTGACAGGAGATTACAGGGCCATTAAGAATCATGACGCCAGCAGTGAATAACAACATAGAATCCACAGACCACAGCAACATGGATGAACTGGGAGGACATGACGCTGCGTGAAATCAGTCAATCACAGAAGGACAAATACTGTATTAGTCCATATTGTAAAAAGTCAAGGAAAAGTTTATATATGGAAGGAAACTTTCTTTGGTGGTTACCAGGGAGGGGAGGGGAGTGAAGGGATAATTGCTAAACAGGTAAAACACAGCATTAAAAATTATATGGAAACCAAAGATTATTAATGATTACCAGGGGTAGGAGGGGGGAAAGGGAAGCTTTTGCTTGAGGGGCACTGAGTTTATGCTAATGGTGGTAGAATCCTTTGGAAAAGGATACCAATTATGGTGACACAACAAGAAAAATGTCGCCAGTGTCCCTGAGCTGTACATGTGGAGGTCATGTTGGTGACTGTCTTAGTGGGTGTATTTTTACCACAATAAAATAAAAAGTAAACTGCATTTTAAAGTTAGTTAAAAAAAAAAAAGAATCATGATCCCAGAACAAAAGTCTTGGAAAGCACAATCCAAATCATCAACAGCAACACCTTCTAACAAAGATGAAGGTGGACTTTTACCCTCTGCTTCACACACTTTATCATCATTGGCATGGCTTGCCAAGAATTCTTAACAATACAGAAAACAAATAGAATGGTACAAAAAGATACTGAAAATAGATACACCTTCTCAAAAGGCTTCAAGACTGCACCCAACCATCTTTAAAAAGCACCAAGTGAAAAACAAGACAAAACGTCAACATCAATGGTTGCTCACAAGTGAGAGATTTATGGCTGACTTTGTTGTTTTCCCAAAATTTCTCAATAAAAATACACTGCTCTTCTATGTTTAATAAAAAAAAAATCATAAAGTGTTTAAGCCAAATAGTGAAACCAAAACCAAAACCAAAACCAAATGCACTGCCGTCGAGTCAGATCTGACTCACAGTGAACCCTCCCCTTGGGTTTCCCGGGCGGCATCTCTACAGAAGTAGATTACCCAACCTTCCTTCCGAGAAGTGGCTGGTGGGTTTGAACCGCCAGCCTTCTGGTTAGCAGTCACATGCCTTAGGCACTGCACCACCAGAGCTCCCAGTGAAAAATGGTTGATTTATCTATCAACCTAGCCTTCGGCTATCACTAACATTTCCCAACAGTGCAATGGTTAAGTCTCGGTCAGTGGTGTGAACCTACCTGCTGCTCTGAGAGAGAAAAGACCCGGAGATCTCCTCCCATGAAATGTCAGCCTAGGAAACCTCATGGGGCGGTGCTACTCTGTCCAGCACTGTAGGGTCACTAGGCTAGGAGTCAGAATTGACTCGATAGCACACAACGGTATTTCCTATTGCGAAGTTAGCATCCCCGCCCCCCAACTATTCCTTCAATCCAACTGTTCCAAATTCCCTTTGCAAAGACAAAGTAATAAAAGTAATGAAAAAACATACCACTACTTTTGGAAGCTCCTTGTAAATTTGTTTCACAAAATCCAAAAAATGATGAATCTGAGGAAAAAAAAAAAGATACTTTCATTGCAGGAAGGTATTTATCTTCTGAAAATGCTTATAATAAATAAACACATTAACAGTCTTAATAAGTAAGAACTTGTAAAACAGGTAAGGAAAACATTAGGCTCAAAATACAAGTGGGCAATGGATATAAACAAAAAAATATAAATGACTGATAAATAGAAAACACGTTTCTAATTCTAAAAGAGCAAAGGACTAAAACAAAAATGCCTCTTTTTGCCTTTCACAAACTCATCATGCACAACACTGGAGAGGGTGCCATGGAAAGCCGACTATCAAACTGCTGAAGGAACCTGAAATGGCCAACATCTGGAAATCAAATGAACCATGTGTCTCAAGAGCATCATATTAACTCCCCTCCCTCATGCATGGCCTCTTCTAACCTGAGACTGGAAGAACTAGATAGTGGTTAACTACCACTACCACATGTTCTAACCACAGACACAACAGAATGGGAGAAAAGCCTAGAACAAAACTCAAATTCCTAAAAAGGACCAGACTTACTAAACTGACAGAGACTGGAAGAGGCCCTGAGACTACTGCCCTCAGATATCCTTTAACCTACAACTGCAACCACTCCTGGAGGTCAGCTTGCAGCCACACAACAGACTACAGTATAAAATAAACAATATCCCCCATGAGTAGCATGTCCCTTAAGCAATTAACTACATGAGACCAAACGGTCAACATTAACCTAAAATCTAAGATGAGAAGGCAAAGAGGGGCAGGGAAACTAATCAATGGAAACAGAACAAACAGAAGGAAATAATGAGAATTCTGACACATCATGAAAACTGTAACCAATGGCGTGGAACAATTTGTAGAAAAACTGTTACATGGGAACTTAATTCACTGCATAAACCTTCAACTAAAATAATTATTTAAAAGAAAGCAGTAAAAAAAAAAAAAAAATTAACACCTTTGACTCCATAATTCTACCTCTATGAAGCTAGCCTACTAAACTGGCAAAGACATTTAGCAATCATCATGAAATAAAAATTCTGAAACACCTTAAACATATAAAAATAAAAACACATATTAAAATATAACACATTTGCTAAAACTTAACTTCATGAAGAATTTTACAATTGAAAAAATGCTTACACAGAATGTGAAGATAAACAATCAGGATATAAAGTGTCCTCACAATTATGTAGAAAACATACACACACACAGTAGGAAAACAGAAAGGAAATCGCTAAGACATTAAACACTGTTTTTAAGGTGGTGGGAGTTTTGTCTTTACACCTTTCATTTAACTTCAAAATAACTTATAGTAACTATTTATTACAGGGAACATATCTTAACCATGGTTAACTTAACGTTGTATGCTTACTGCTTACTATGTAGCTGCCAGTTACTATGCTAAGAATTTTAACTTTTCATATTTAATTCTTCAAAAAACCTTCTGAGGACATACAATGACTGTCCCCATCTCATGCTTGAGGCTCTAAAAGTTAGGTGCTTACCTGGTGTCAGCTTCTGAACTGCAGAGCTGAGATTCAACCCAGCTCAGACTCCAGAACCCACATCTTAACCCTCATGCAACAGAGAACAACTGGAGTTCTCTGCGCACATCAGCCATATTAATACCCAAACTGAAAGACAACCCAAATGGACTACCGGTTTGGTTGGCTAACACATTTCAACTACTGAACAAATTAAACAAAATACTGACATGCACATTCCCCAAAAAGTCACTTATTGGGTAGGAAGCAGTGACTTTCCATTTACGGTGCTGGAAAATTTGACAATTACAGGTGACAGCTGCACAACACGATTCATGCCACTGATGTTACTTAAGTGTACACCTGAAAAATGCTGTTGTGGTTAGGGCACATTTGGCTGCTAACCAAAAGGTCAGCAGTTCAAACCCACCAGCCATTCCACAGGATAAAGAGCAGGCAGTCTGCTCCCATAAAGATTTACAGCCTTGGAAACTCTATGGGCCAATTACTGTCCTATAGGGTCGCTATGAGTCTGAATCAACTCGATGACAGTGGGTTTAGTTTTCTGTGGTTGTATTTTTACAACAATAAAGAATATAAATATTTAAAAACAAAGTCACCGCTAAATTCATAAAGAACTTCCCCTAACTAAGGCTATCATTTTCAGTAGTTAAAACCAGCACGTCAGTCAACTCTAAAAGAAAGTAAAAATCTACACAGCACAAGGAACTTGCTAACAACACACTTTAAAAACGATATCAAGATAAACAACTTACTTCTTGTGTGATTGGTGGCCTGAACTGTTTGTGTAGCTCAATAATGATTCTTAAACAAATAAGCACATTTTCTTCATTTTCAGTCTAAAAAAAGGAAAGGCATTTTAAAGAAGAGTTACTTCTCAGAACTTATTTTAATCTAAAGATCAAAGACTATTATTTTCTAGGGGTTTTCTGCATACACACTCTTCTATAAACCACCTTCTACTTGACCTGCTATAAGTTAAACCACAGAACACAACTGTTCCAGCCAGGAAGTCCTCGTGGGTCTGGTGTGCCATCTGAATGTCATCGACCACCAACTTCTACTACAGTAACACACCCACAGATATGAACTGAGGTTTTCGTGGACCAACTGATACTTCTTTGATTGAAAAAACTGCCAAAGAGCCAGCATTTACTAGCACCCACCATGTCCTGGACAGTTTGCTAAGCACTTTATGAGTTCAGTCATGTGCCACATAATGTCCATTCAGGCAACATCTGACTGCATGTACGTTCATGGTCCCAAGCCCCGTAAAGCCTACTATATTAAAATTTTGAGATACACACAACAGTCTGTAATAATGAGCAGGCACTACTTTGCAATGCACATTACAACATTATCATCATAAGTGTATTCTGATGGTAAGGAAGTTTTAATGCATCTGGAAATAAGTCTTTCACGTTTTTATGCACAGAAAGGTATACCATATACTAAGATAAACATCTGACTGATTAGATACAAACCATCTGTAACTCTTCCAACTTCTGTACAAATTTGGCTGAAAGGAACGGAACTCATTCATAGTCCAGGAACTGCCTGTAATGTAGTGTTCACACAACATCCACATCACATAACATCCTATTTCACAGACCGTATCATGGATGTCAAACACACATTACTGTTGTTACATTAACGACACAATATAACTACTGTATTCTGTGAGTGGGCAGTGCCATCCAAATTCTGCCTGTGAGAAAACTAAGCCTCAGAGAAGCCAGTCACCTTAACCAGTGTGGCACAGCTAACAAAGCCAGATCTGAATCCAAGTCATCTACCTCCATCACACATCTCCCCACAGAAACCTAACAGAATTCTTGACCACATCAAGACTAAAGGCTGCAAGGAAAGGCAACAGTGCTTGTAGAGATTAACTCACCCCAAGAATTTGGCAAACTCTTATGTGTAAAGGGGGCAGTGATGGTCCAGCAGGAGAAGTCTCCCCTTCCATGCAGGACACCTGGGTTCAATTCTCAGGCAATGCAGCACGTTATACACAGCCACCACCCATCAATCAGTAGAGGCCTGTGTATTATTATGATGCTGAGTGTTTCAGAGGTGCTCCCAGACTAAGAAAAGCTAGGAAGGCCTGGAGACCTGATACTGGAAATCAGGCCGTGAAGACCCTACGAATCACCACAGTCCAATTCTGTTGCATATGGCGTCGCCGTGAGCCATAGGTCAACTCAAACAGCAGCTAGCAATACCACCACATGTAAAGCATCATGCTTGGTACACACAAACCCAGAACCACTGGCCAGCTAAGCTTCCAGGATCACCACTGTGCATGGCTGAGCACCCAGCGCCTTCAGAATGCCGATCTTCAATGGCATCAGCGTCTTTAGTAATTTGGTCAAGAGACTTAACAGAAGTGGGGAGAAGAGGGCATTAAGAAACCTTTCACTCACGTATATCAGAACTTCAGTGAAAGGAAAACAGTAGTACAATACTGGCTTCACAGTAAAAAAAACATTTCAAGTGTGCACATGGCTAAACGACAGTTCATTCCAGAGCTTACCTCTAAAAAGCGAAACATCACAGACAGAACGTTTTTTGTGTGAGGACGAAGATGTTCATTTGTAGGTATTCTATGAATTATTTCAAGTACTAGCTTCCGCAGTTGCTGGCAGGGCGGGGGGTGGGGGGACAAAAAAATTTAAGGATAAGAAACTACCAAGTTCCACGTTAATTCTTTGGCATTTCCACAGTCTGCACCCAGCAGTGGTAGCCACCATATAAGATGGACCCTATCTTCAAAACAGTCCTGTAAATCATCTACACAAAATTTGAAACATGTAGCTACAAATTATTACTCTCAGCATTTCTACACTTGGTTACCAAATCAACCACGTCAAATTTCTCTTCTCTTTCATAACTTATTAACATTTTCAGCAGAAGTACACCGGGCATGGAGCTAGTTTAAGATAAAATAACAAAGTGCCAACAGAACTGAGTTTGGGCTCTCTCTTCCTAATCTGTTCCTCCCTTCAGATATCTCCAATTACCTTGGGCTCAAGGACAAATGACATCATGAGCTGTACTAAGCTTTCATGATTCTGTCTACAGAGCCAATAACTAACATGAAGGTTAAATAATAAGATCTTGACCGGGGACAACATTTAAGTGCTCTGTTTAGCAATACACTGTTTCGCTGGTATTATGGCAATGTTTTTAAAAAACTGAGAGATACATACTCAAATATTTATTTTAAAAAAGGTATGATGAACTGCTTTAAAATAGTCAAGGCAAGGCAAGTGTGTGGGTGTCTAAATAAAACAAAACTGGCCACAGATCGTAAGAATTAAAATTAGTAAGATTAGAGTCGGGTAATGGGTACAAGAGGGTGGGTCACTGAACTTCTCATCCTTCTTCTGTATCTGTTTGAATTTGTCTGTAATAAGCAGCATTCAGATGTCATCAGTCAACATGTACAAATAAATTATAAAAGAGACACAACAGATAAAATAAATCCAAGACATTTAGCCGAGGAGGCAATGGTCTTGGACAAAGGTATGCTTAAGTTACAAAATATTTTTCATGAAACCTAGAGTGGAGCCATAGTTGTTCTTTGAGCTGTTTTGATTCATGACTATTTGTAATCCAACCACAGGACTATTTTTCTCTGAAGGTTTAGAACAGGATACCTGGGCTGGTTTCTCCTGGAGAAACTGCACTTCTCCATCTTGAAGGAAGGTGAGAAATCGAGGGATGATATGTTCCAGGAATGTAGAATACTGAGGAGACGACGTTACATTCTAATGACACAAAAAGAAGAGAAAACCCCATTTAAGTTATGTTTCTGCACTTTCCCTTCCAAGTCACATAGTGTAACAAACTCAAAGAAGCGTGAGACATTTTAGCAGAGTAACAGTATTTTTAATACTTTGAGATGTTTTAACCCGAGTGACAACGTAGTTTTATTAAATGAGGATGAGTGCTGCTTCTGAAATCCAATTCAAGACAGCCGAACGCTAAAATTCACTGCTCAAACTGGAAATGCCAATGCTGTGGAAAGCACAGAGAGCTCTAGTGCCATAGTGGTTAAAGCACTCGGCTGCCACCCCAAAGGTTGGTCGTTCAAACCCACCAGCCACTTCATGGGAGAAAGACGAGGCAGTCTGCTTCCCTGAAGACTTAAGAGTCTTGGAAACCCTACGGGGCAGTTTTACGCAGAGTCGCAGTGACTTGGTGGCAGTGAATCTGGTTCTTGGTTCGTGGAAAATGCTGAACTTGACGCCTGTTCTAGACTGGCTCTGCCACTAGCTAATGAGCCCTCTGAAGTCACTCAGCTTCTAGGTCTCAGCCTCTTCAGCTGGAAAACAAAGAGCCTGAACACACTAACACCTTTTCCTGTCTAAAAATCTAAGATTACAGTATCCTGTATTCACCCAGCACCGACTGTGGAAGAAGAATGGAGAACTGTTTAGTCGGCAGCATGGAAAAAGGACCCCTAGTGAAACCTGGGTCCCGCTCAGCAAGTAGTAACCTGGGGCAGTTGTTTAATCCTCCTGTGCCTCACGGTCCCCATCTGTTAAATATGGCTGATATTTGCTAGCCAGCTCACAGGACTGTTGTGAAGTTTACGTTAGTTACATATGCAAAGCTCTTAACACTGTCCATGGTAAATGTTCAGTAACTGCTGACCAAAAACCAAACCCATTGTCGTCTATCGATCCTGACTCACAGCGCCCCTAGAGGACAGAGGAGAGCCGCCCCAGAAGGTTTCCAAGGCTGCACACCTTCACAGAAGCACACTGCATCATCATCTTTCTCCTACGGAGCAGATGACAAGCTCGAATCACCAATCCTTTTGTTAGTGGCCGAGTGTTTTAACTACCGTGCCACCAGAGGGTCTCAGTAAGCATTAGCTGCTGTTATTTACCAAACACTTTTGTGCTTTGTAAATACTTAGTCTTTCTTACATGGTCTTGAGCACAACCCCGAGAGGTACTGCCTACATTTCACAGAAAAAGGAAGAGGCTGAGAGAGGTGAAAACTACTTGCCAAATGGCAGAGTTCATGCATTTTGGAAGCAGGATTCAAATCCAGCACCCAAGTCTCCTCCTCCCTCTTCATGCCTCACCAACTCATTAAACAATGTCCACTGAGCTCCTGTCATGTGCTCAATGGGGATCAAATGCTGAGTCAACACAGTTCATGCCTTCAGAGGCAGGGAGGCAGTAGTGTGATGAAGACAGTCATCACACATGCGCGCACGCGCGCACGCACACACACACACACAAAATGCCGTATTTTGATAAAGGGAGGTACTGGTGCCTCAGGGAAGGTGTCACAAGGGCACACAATTTACTGGCAGGAATCAATGGCAGACTACACTTTCCTGAACAAGTGATGCTTATGCTACAACCTGTAAGGCAAGTGAGTACTATCCATGTGAAAAGTCAGGAAAAAAAGACAGTTCTAGAAAAAATACACAAAGGCAAAAAATAAAACAAAGTATGAGCTGTAAAAGATATTAAAAAACAGCTCCATACAGAGGGAACTATTATGAGTGACAAGCTTGTGAGTCAAGGGATCTAGGCAACTTCAGAGGCTCCGTCTCATAGACTACTATATGGGGGTGCCCCTAGGAGTTGTGTCACAGCTTAAAAGTCTCTTCCCAAGTAGCCTGTGAATCCCTGAAGGCAAGAATGGTGTTTCAGTCATCTCTCACCTCCAACACTTAAGACTTTTATGAAACACCACGTTCAAGGTCTAAGGAAAAGAAGCGGGCAGCCTCAGGGCCGGAAGATGGACAGAGATACTAGAGGTCCAGCAATGGTTGGGAATTAGGGTTTCAGTGTAGCCAGTGCTAAGACCTCTATTAACAGCTGGATAATACCTTAGACATCTGGCCAAGGAAGGACCATGCCCTGCACAAAAGCCTATGCTAGGCCTAAATTTAACATAACAAAGCCCAAATTTAACCTCTGCTGAGATCAGAGTTTGCAGGTGGAATCCCACCAGGTTACAGAAACTTGGGAAAACAGCTTGGGTTTCCCACAAATCCTCAACAGAGCGAAAGACTAAGCCTCACAAGCTCCAGATCAGCTGGACCGCCCACTAGCAAAAAAAAAAAAAAATTTTTAAATTAACAGATGTGTAACAGAACAAAGAGTCAGATACCCTTTCATACAATATGCCCAGTATACAACACAAAGAAACAGGAAACTAGGACCCACACTCAATAGAAACTGACTATCGAAAGGCCTACTTTACAGTTAGCAGAGACTTTAAAACAGCTGTTAGACACATTCAAAGGATAAATGGACTATGGTACATACACACAATGGAATACTATGCAACACTAAAGAATAATGTAGAATCTGTGAAACACTGCATAACATGGATGAAGATGGAGGACCTTATGCTGAGTGAAGTAAGTCTATCATAGAAGGACAACTATTTTATTAGCTTACTATTATAAAAAGTCAAGGAAGGATTACATACACAAGGAAGCTTCCTTTGTCAGCTATCAAGAATGGGAAGGGAAAAAGGGAACACTGCTAGGTCGGTAAGGACAAATACTGATTTGGGCAAAGGAAAAGTCATTGTACCATAAGCGAGTGACCAACAATAATGCTAAGGGAAAAGGAAGAAACAGAGAGATGCATAGGAGGTACAGATAACAAAGAAACCCTTTTACATGTACAATACTGTATTACCAATGACAACAACATTGATCTACAGGTAAAAAGATAGGTAGACAGGCTGAATGATCAGGTATGTCTAGGCAAAAGGGAATATACCCATGACCATATGTAAGACTGACAGATGATATTTCTACATACGTATTTGTATGTACTTTAAGAATGTCCATGTAACTAGAACTAACAAGGGGCAAAGTAAGGATAACTTCTTGGCCACAGCCAGCCACGCTTTGGGACCAAGTAGTTGGACCTGTGGGCTCAATGATGGTCATAGGGGATATCAAGCTCAACTGGCATAACGTACTACCCAAAAACATTGTCCTACATCTTACTACGGCAAGTAGCCCTGGAGTCTTAAAAGCTTGCAAGCGGCCATCTAGATGCAACAACAGGTCTCTCCTCACCCAGAGGAAAGAAGAATGAAGAAAACCAAAGACGTATGGAAACAATTAGTCTAAGGGACTAGAGAACCATGCGATGCGATCCTCAGCCTATATGGCCATGAGACCAGAAGAACTAGATGGTGCCTGGCTCCCACTGCCACCCACTCAGAAAGGGATCAGTGCAGGAGATCCTGGATAGAGTAGGAGAACAATGTGGAACAAAACTCATAAATCATAAAAAAAATCATTAAAAAAAAAAAAAGACCAGGTTTACTGGTCTGATAGAGCCTGGTGAGACCCCTAGGACTATGGCCCCTAGTTATGCTTAGGTCTGGGATTGAACTCACTCCCATGGCTTCCAAACAAACAACAAACAGGCATATAGGATGAACATTTACACCAGGCAGATACACTCCTTACAATGACCAATCATGAGAGAACAGAAGGGCAGTATTTGCATAGAGAGACAGAGCAGGAATGCAGAGGAAAGAAGGACACAGGGAAGAGGCAACTATGGGGGAAGTGGGAAGAGAGCTGTTACACTGTAGGGACTGCAGTCAATACCATGAAACAAAATGTGTATGAACTGCTGTATGAAAAATGAATTTGCTCTGTAAACTTTCACCCAAATCACGATAAAAATTGAAAGAAAAAAAAAGGCTCTCTCCTTGTCCAGAGCAAAGAAGAATGAAGAAAACCAAAGATGCATGGAAACAATTAGTCTAAGGGACTAGTGGACCATGTTAACCTCAGTCTACGGGACCGTGAGGCCAGAAGAACTAGATGGTGCCCAGCTACTACTGTCAACTGCTTGGAAAGGGATCAGTGCTATGGGCTGCTATATGGAAAATGAATTTACTCTGTAAACTTTCACCCATATCACAATGAAATAATAATAAAGGGAAAGAGTCTTCATTTAAAAACAAATAGGAAACTTCTACAAATAAATGAAATCCATAAAAAAGAACCAAGTGGAAATTGTAGAGTTGAAAACACAGTAACTGAAATAAAAAATCCAAGGACAGGCTAAACAGCAGACTGGGAGAGATGGTGAACTTGGAAGTGAGGACTAACAGAAATTATTCCACCTAAAAATAAATAAAAAAGGACTAAAGAAAAATGAACAGAACCTGAGACAAAATAGAATTATGGAATGGGAAGCCCAAGGAGAGAAACTGCTTATTCCTGATCATGTCCATTATAAACAGCAGAAGCCATTCCACCAACAACCTGCCATCTATCATCTGAACACAACAAACTCAAAGCAAGTCTGAGTGCATCCCAAGACCATTGTCTCAAAAAGCAACTTTATTTTACAAATGCAAACAAATGTTAAGCTACCAAAACAAAACCAACATTCCTCAACATAGTCTGAGGTTCACCACTGCTAAAGGAAAGAAAGAAAAACATGCTGTACAATTTTCCAAATTTCAATTTTGAAATGCGGGAAACTATATTAATAGAAACAATGAGTTATGAGTAATCAACAAAAAGACTGACAAAGCAGCAAAAGGAAAATACATTGTCAACATTACATTTACCTCAAAAAATATAAACTATAAAGCTCATACCTCAAAATTTTCACTAACTTCTTGCATCATTTTTAGCTTCGTTTCATCAGCTGTAAATGGTAAAAACACACAATTAAGTAACTGAAATTATGTTAAAGAAGATTCTAAAAATCACCGATTTTAATAATTTAAAAGGAAGCAATCAGATCTTATCAGTTTGACTGTCATCGTCCAAAAGAAAGCACATAACTAGTTCCCTACACACATTCACACACATTCTCACTCCCAGACACACGTATTCATGCATAGACAGGCACAGATTCACACGGACATACACACACGTGTGCCTCTTTGGGGCTCCAGCCAGTAATGCTCATCATATTGCTTCAACACAAGACAGAGAAAATAGGAAATTAAAGAAACTGCTAACATTACTATTTATCTCAGTACACACATCACTCGACCTGAGATAAATGAGTCACATTGATACATGTCCTTAATAACAAAAATAAACAAAAAACTTCACTCACGTGTATTTACATCAGTGAGAGCTGCCACAAACTGAAGGTATTTTTTCATCAGTGTGGTTTGGTCAACCACCGTGGCCCCTTGTGTTGCAACAAATGCCATTTTTCTTGTGAGCTAGTCTGTTTCTTAAGAAAATGGTATCAGGCCATGAGTTCACCCAGCCTATGAAAAGAAGCAGATGGTTAGCAATCTACCAAGGGCACAGCTCACAATCTCTGTGAAAATCTTATCTAAATGCCTGCATTAACCTAAGTATTTTTCCATTCATGTAGATGCAACACTGGTCCATGTGCTTTTTTGAAAATGAAATTTACTTACATTCATTTTGTCTATTTAATTTCTAAACGTATCTATCGTATTTCCTTCTTTCCCCTAGGCCAGCAGTTGGCAAACTTCTCCAAAAGCCACACAGTAAATATTTTAGGCTCTACAGCCATGAGCAAATAATCCAAGAAGCTGGACTATATGAAGAAGAATATGGCATCAGGATTGGAGGAAGGCTCATTAACCACCTGAGATATGTAGATGACACAACTCTGCTTGCTGAAAATGAAGATGACTTGAAACACTTACTGATGAAGATTGAAGACTACAGTCTGCAGTATGGATTACACCTCAATGTAAAGAAAACAAAAATCCTCACAACTGGACCAATAAGCAGCATCACAATAAATGGAGAAAAGACTGAAGTTGTCAAAGACTTTATATTACTTGGTTCTACAATCAACACCAATGGAAGCAGCAGTCAAGACGTCAAAAGACATATTGCACTGGGCAAATCGGTTGCAAGAGACCTCTTTTCAAGTGCTGAAGAGCAAAGATATCTCCTTGAAGACTGAGATGCACCTAGCCCAAGCTATGGTATTTTCAATCGCCTCATATGCATATGAGAGTGGGACAATGAATAAGGAAGACCAAAGAAGAGTTGATGCTTTTGAGTTGTGATGTTGGCAAAGAATGCTAAGAGAACTAACAAATCTGTCCTGGAAGAAGCGCAGCCAGAATGCTACTTGGAAGCGAGAATGGCCAGACTTCGTCTCACCCACTTGTACTGTTGTTAGAAGGGACCACTCCCTGGAGAAGGATGTCATGCTTGGTAAAATGGAAGGTCAACAAAAAAGGGGAAGGTCCTCATCAAGATGGATGAATACAGTGGCTGCAGCGATAGGCTCAGGTATAATAAGGATCATGAGGCTGGCACAGGACTGGGCAGTGTTTCACTCTGTTGTACATAAGGTTGCTATGAGTCGGCGAGGACTCGATGGCACGTAACAACAGCAAGCCTAACAGCAGCCACGTAGTCTCTGAAGGAAGCATCCACGCAGTTCTGCTGTTATATCCCTAAAGTAGCTAAATGAATGAGCTGAGGTTGTGCCAAAACCAAAACTCACTGCTGTTGAGTTGATTCTGATTCATAGCAGCCCCCATTGGGTTTCCGAAGTGTTACATCTTTACAGAAGTAGATTGCCTCATCTTCCTTCCACAGAGCAGCTGGGAGGTTTGAACCACCAACCTCCTGATTAGCCGTCAAATGCCTTAGGGATTGCATCACCAGAGCTCCTTAGGGGTTGTGCCAGTTTCATGTAATTTTCACATCACGAACTATTCTTCTTTTGACCTTTTCCCCAGCCATTTACAAAGGTAAAAAGCATACATAGTTCCTGAGCCGTTTACAAAGGAGCAGTGGCTGGGATGAAGAAGCTTCTTTATTTGCCAATCCCTGTCTTAGGCAACTGGGTCTCAAACCTGAGTGGGCAATAAATCACCAGGTGCCAAAAGTGGATTTCCCCCACCCAGGGTTCAAAAACCAAAAAAACCAAACTCACTGCCGTGGAGTCTATTTCAACTCACAGCAACCCTCCTTGGGTTTCTGAGGCAGTACCGCTATGGTAGGAGCTCTGGTAGCATAGTGCCTAAGGCACCTGACTGCTAACCAAAAGCCTGGCGGTTCAAACCCACCAGCCACTCCTTGGAAGGAAGGTTGGGCAATCCTACTTCCGCAGTGATACTGCCTCGGAAACCCAAGGAGGGGTCGCTATGAGTCCGGGCCGACTCGACGGCACATAACAACAACAACCGCTATCCGCTATGGTAGCAGGGGTAGATTGCCCCATCTTCTCTCCGAGAAGTGGCTGGTGGGTTTGAACCACCAGCCTTCTAGTTAGCAGTCAAATGCCTTAGGCACTATGCCACCAGAGCTCCTAAGAGGCCCAGAAACCTGTACAATGCGCTTGCAGCTGACACACAGCATTGTCGCAGCATTGAGAAACACGGTTCCAGGCTGACACATTTAGATGAGTGGGACTCGGTTTCTATTTTAAGAGCCATCACAGAAGAGTCTAGAGAACCTCGTGACATGGCTTTTTTACCCAACTTCCCTGCACGTACAACCACCTAACTTCACTGGGCAGTAAAAGGCAGTTCCAAGCTTAGTTTCCTAAGTCCTTCCAAAGTCGTTCCCGAAACTTTTCTGCACGCCTTTCAAAGGTCCCGCCATGACGGATACACTCCCTGCAGCTCATACTTGTGCTCAGATGACGGGGACACCCTGACACTAGAGAGCGCTTCTTCGAGGTAGACAGATCCCCAAAGATGGCCCCGAACGGCCCTCCAGAAGCCCCAGCGCTGTGGCTCAGGGCTGGAAAAGTCACTAAGGAAACCAAGGCATGGATGCTGTCAGCCCTGCTAACTAACCCGGCCGTCTCCTCCCCGTCTCACTCACTCCTTCAAACACCAAAGACCCCGCATTCGCATCCTCACACCAGGGCACCCAAGACTCGGAGTGTCGGTCTCTCGCCAGCAAATCCCTCAGCCCCGCCCAGACCTTTGGAAAGGTTCGGGCCCTTTTATTGAGGTCCTCGGAAGCGATCAACTCTTCATTTCCCGGCCCCGGAAGGTGAGGCTCTGCTCTCCGGCTTCGACACGCCCCATTCCGCCGGTCTCCGGGAAAGCAGCTCTCAGGCGCTGGAGTTCGAGGGGGCCGGCTCGGGTGGGCTGAGCGAGGCACCGCGCTCGGGGCAAATGGCCCCCCGCCGCCCCCTCCCCCGAACCTGAGGCGGCGCCGCCGGGCCACAGGGGGCGCTGTCGTCGCCGCTACCTGCGCTCTCGGCGCCGGACCAGGCGAGCCAGGTGCCTGTGTGGAGGCTGGAAGGTGCCGGGCTAGCCCTAGGGCGCCTCCGGGGGGCCGACGGCCCCAACCTCTCCAATCCCAAACGGCCCTACTTTTCCCCTCCTTTTGTCGCCGTCCCCGGGCGCTCAGCGACCGCCTCCCAGGCCGCGCTACGGCGCGCGCCGAGGGCCAATTCCCGCGCCCGCTTAGCCTCCGCCTCCCGCGTCTCCACAGCTCGGCCACACAGCGAGCGAGGTCTGAACAGCTACCGCCGGCCCCGCAGCCCGACCCGAGCTCCGGCACGAGGCCAGAGCGACTCGGGCGGTCGCAACCTCCTTCCATGCCATTGCGGAGCCGCCGCAACACACAGGCCTCCCCACGCCCCGGCCCCGCCAGGCGCCTCCCAGGCTGTTTCGCCGCCCTCGCTCACCTCACCTCGGCGCTCGGGCCCTGCAGCCCCAGCCTGGGCCCTCGCGCCAAACCCACCCGGCCGCCGACGCCGCTCAGTTGCGCGCAGTCCCGCCCCCACTTAAAGCAGAGGCTGGCTGCGGACTGAGAACTAGGCCTGGCGCACCGCCCCCGAGTGGGTGCGGCCTGGGCGCGCGGCGGGCGCGGGGAGGGGCGTCTGCGCTGGGTGGGCCTCCCCGCCCTTTAAACCCAGGCCTGCAAGACTGCAGGTGGCAGTTGTTTGTGAATTCCTTCACCCCCGTGGTCTCCTCGCAGAAGCCGCGTCACGAGAGGGGAGAGAGGGTACTACTGTAGACGGTGGGCAACCGAGGGGCTTCCCAAGGGGGCGGCGGGGGGGAGGGCCCGGTAGAGCCCCCGCTTGGAGTAAACATGGCAGGCAGGGCGGGTTAGCTCCCTTGCTCCCATCCATGGGCCCTTGAGGTCTTAGCCCAAAGAAAGGACACGCGGTCAGGAGGGTCTTAGTGAAGATGAAGGATGGAGACAGACCGAGACTTCAGTAGTAAATCCTAGAGTTCTGCCTGGAAGTGGCAGACCCTAGGGGCAGAAAGGCCCCTTGGTTCTGCAGTTGCACTACACCGCTTTCCTTCCTCTTCTACCCAGCTGGCAGGACAGAAAAATGCAGAAGTGAAATAGAGGGGGGAGTGGAACTCAGGTGCCCAGGTGAGGGGGCGTGGGCTGGACCAACGAGGAAAGCACACCTCACGTACAAACTCCATGGATGTCAGAGGTTTCAAGAGTTCCTGGTAATGGTGGTTACCAGAGTGTAAACGTGAACTCCCATCACCTCCCAGGATGGCGCTCCACCCCCCGCCCGTTCCTCACATCACCACCTCCATGGTCACTAACCCTACGGATACATTGTACACATTGCAATAAATAGAACCTGCAGATTTTTTCTTGGAAGAAAACTGCCTTGCTATGAAACGTGTTCCTTATCATTCAATGTTTTAATTCAAGAACAAGCTTCAGCTGAAGTGTTTGTCATTAAGTAGATGTTTTTAGCAACAATTATTTCAGCTCCAGGAGAAATCCAATGGATTAGAACACCCCTTTCCCTATGGAAGAAATGGTCTGTTTATCCCTTGTGCCCTCCCAGAAAACCAGTTGCCACCCAGTGGACTCCAATTCATGACCACCTTGTGTGTGTCAAAGGAGAACTGTGCTCCCGAGCGCAGTGGCTTTTCTTCCGAGGGGCATCTGTGTTAACTAGGTGACCACCACCCTCCACAACAGGTGTGAGGTGAGAAGTTGGGGAAAGTTGAAAAATCTAAAAGCTGAAACCAATGTGCCCAACATTGTGGATTAATATTGAGGGGAGGGTGGAGCAAGAAAAAAGCTGGTATAGACAAACCCTTTGATTAGCTTTTGGCTTAACTGCTTAAGACAGACACCTACAGCTGGGCCTAGGCGAGAGCAAGGTATCACCCTTGACTTGCTCAAAATCCCTACACTTCCCCAGGGCCTGACCTTCTGTGAAAGTACTCATCGCCCTGTTTGGACTTTTGCCTGTTTTCTGGTCTGTCTCCTGAACTAAAAAAGTCAGGAACTGTGCCATCTTCATCCCCATAAGGTAAACTAGATAATG